ACAATCTTTCTCTTTCTTTCTCTTTTGTGTTCGTTGGATTCTGTCAGTCGGCGATTTTGCCAATCCAATTTGGCCGATGACACAAAGGAGGAAATCGATCATCCTTTGACGAAAGGTCGAATCCTAGCATGTCTCTTCTTTTCTCTTCTTTTCTCTTCTTTGAGAGAAAGAGAAAAAGAGGATTTTGAAGATTTAAAAAAAAAGGAAAGAGAGAGAGAGAACGAAATAGCGCACGTTCGTAAATCCTTCCTTGTAAATTCCCAATGAATCCTATGAATAGGAACAAAATTCTTTTGGAAACTCATATTTGTCCAGAAAATAACCTATCGACTTATATATATCAGACGTGACCGAGTCACATGCATCACCTTAACGACCTGAATGAAATCCCACATCGTCATCTTGATCATCTCGTGTTTGGAAAATATGCTAAGAAATCGTCTAATTTGTCGTATCATTTTCTTTTTAAATTATCATTAACCTTTTGGATAATCGAATTTATTATTTAACTCGATAAGATCATTTCACCCCAATGCGATCCTATCTGTTCGTTTCCTAGTTTCTGCCTTTTCAGAGTGACGTCATCAAGTCTTTGACGTAAATGCCACCTAGTCTTGTAAGCGATTGCTTGAAGAGAGCCACCCCAGCACACTTCGCGCTGGTGGTTGTTAGTCGAGGTAAGTTCGATTTTTTCAATCTTCCTATCTTGTTCGACGTGGAATCTGAGCAGAGAAGAGAGAGAGAGAATGGAGGGGGAGGGGGTGGACGAGAGAAAGTAAAAAAAGAGAGAAACGTAGATGGATATTTCGATTCGATAACGCGATAATCTAACGAAGATAATCTTTATCGAATCGAGAGGGGATATTTAATGCAGCACAATGTCCGAAGGACTTGTCATAAAATTTCGATGAAAATTCATATTCGCATTAATTTCTAATTTATTCTTATAATCGTATCAATTTTGTTTAATATATTAGGATCATTATTAAAAATATTTCATATAACTATGATATATAATAATATATATTAACAAAGTTATTAGTTATAAAAAATGGAATTCTTGTAATCTTCCAATGTTATAAATAATGCTATTAAAAAGAGAAACACAGAGGGAGAGAGAGAGAGAGAGAGAGAGAGAGAGAGAGAGAGAGAGAGAGAGAAAGAGAGATTAAAAAATGTTTTATTTAAGGATGTTACGCATTTTTAATTTTGTGTAACATTTGTAATTTTAAATTTTGTAAATGTTATTTTCGCTTACAACATTATTATCTTTTTCTTTTTTTTTTTTCTTTTTTTCTTTTTTTTGCGATATTTTTATAAAAAGTTGTTACTTAAAATTTATTTCATTGTTCGCGCAAAAAGTAAATGATATTATTAAGTAAAACAAAATGAATTGATGAAAATTATTAACGAATAATTTCGTAGTTTCCCTAGACATTCCCTAGACGTTTGGAATTATCATATATACGAGTGTATATACATAAAAACTTGGCAGCATTCATAATGTCTTGACACGCAAACGTTCTATCGAAGACGAGTGGAAAATTGGAATAAAATTCGGCAATGATTGCTAAAAAGATGGCCAAATTTTTTAAGGGGAACTTATCACCTAATGTAACAAATCTATTCATATATTTAAATATGATATATATATATATATATATATATATATATATATATCTTAAGAAATTGATTCTGAAGTGTAAAAAATCGTCGCTCGAAACTCCAAAATTATTTATTATTTTTTTTCTTTTTTCTTAAACAAACAAATATCAATAAACAATTGTAAAGTTAAAAGTCAATGGAAGAAGCGAAAAATTTTTTATGTTTCAAAATCTATTTTTTTTTATATACATATACATATACATATGTATAATCTAAATATACATATATATAATACATATATAGGGTGAAAACACATGACGTCATTCTTTTCTTTTTTCCTTCTTTCTTGTTTTTTCTTTTTCCTTTTCTTTTTTTCTTTTTTTCTTTTTTTTTTTTTCTTCTTAACTATGACGTAGTCATTGCTCGTTGCCAGAACGAAATGTGACGAGGAACAGATTCTTGAAGGAGCAGCTCGAGTACGCTTCCGGCGTTTCGTGATTTCCCCAGTGGTCTTGCAGGCCCAATGACCTGATTGTCGTGCTCGAAAGAAGAAGCAGAAGAAGAAGGTGCTCTCGATGGTTCGTTACTACGAAATCGATGTATGACGATGACGTTCGCTACGCTTCCAGAAATAATAAAGTACGTGCTACTAATAAAGTACCTACTTGCCTAGAAACAGAAAGATGTCCTCTCTCTCTCTCTCTCTCTCTCTCTTTCTCTCTTTTTTCTTTCTTCCTTTCGCTGAAATTTCGCGTACATTAAACGAATAAAATAAAAAAAAAAAAAAAAAAAAACAAAAAGCCTCTTAAACTTTACGCGAGATAAAGTATATCATGCGAATGACATACATATAACTACTCTCGAAAATATTCGAGTATCAAATTATCATTTCTTAAAAGATTAAATCGAATAGAAATATTTCTTTTCATTTCATTTTTTCATAATTTTTAACACATTGCCATTATTAAATTTAATAATTTAATTATATTATACAAAAAAGACACATATTTAAATACACACACACACACACACATATATATATATATATATATATACATACTCCTGTGATTTTTTCTTGTTCGTATTCCAATATTACCTACGCGAAGAAATATTAAAAATATCTTATAGTATATAAACGAATGAAAACGATTGTAAGAAACGTATGTATATGCAACCATAGTTACAAACATCGTCTATCTAAATATATATATATATATACACACAATATGTGTGCATATATTGTCAATATGCATATAAGCATAGCTTCTCGAACGGTGGTGGCCACTCCACGATACGAACGACACATAGCTTCCTGTTCGCGGCACAATTTCCGAGGGTCGATATATCGAACGATGAGAGAAAGAAAGAAAGAGATAGAGAGAGAGAGAAAGAGAGAGAAACGACGACGACGACGTTGTCTTCAAATAGCGCGGTAGTTAGCGCCTCCCTGAAGAAGGGTTTGCAAGAAGAGGGTTGGATAAGAGGAGAAAGAGGAAGACAGTCTTCTTCCTCTTCCCCGTTCGTCATCGACTACACTTTTCTCCTCTCTCTCTCTCTCTCTCTCTCTCTCTCTCTCTCTCTGATAGACTACCTTTCCTTCTCCCACCACCTTATTTTTCTCATCCTCTCTCTTTCCTATACTCCTCTTCGTCTTCTTCCATTCTCTCACGTTTCTAGCACGTTTTCCTCCGAATCTCTTCGTATTCACTGACTACGCTCTAATCGATGCTGTTTAGCCGCTGAACGATTTAAAACATATCACCCCTGAGAAACACGATACCTTTACCTCGTTCTAGTGAAGAGGGATGCCATTGGCGCAGTGCGAAAAAAATTTCCAAGAAATAAAGGAATTTTCTTTCTTAAGTTGATACTTAAGGGATTTAAGAAAAGAAAGAAAGAAAGAAAGAAAGTAAGAAAAAAAAAGAAAGAAAGAAGAAAAGAAAAAACTGACGGAAATTATGTTTGAAGCGTGTTAGGAATTTATAAAGAAAAAAATGTGTGCATATATAATTACAAATTTAGTCTCATAAACGATTAAACGTGTGAAATGAGATTTTAGATTTTTTTTTTCTTTTCTTTTCTTTTCTTTTCTTCTTTTTTTTTCTTTGTACATTCAAAAACTCGAGAAAAATATGATTATATAATTTTATAATTTAATACAATAGACAATAAAATGTGTAATAGACATTTACAAGATTTACAATTATTTTTCTATAGGTTATAATAATTCAAAATTTTCTTAATAAATTTTAACGGGTTATTGTGTGATTTATTTTCGTTAGAACGAAATTTATATATCTTACATTTTCGTGTGTGTGTGTGTGTATATATATATATGAATGTGTGTGCAATACCTATCGTACGATCTTATGTCAAAGATGACATAGTTATACATGTATAAAATCTATCCTCATTAATTACTCTATCATTAATTCGTAATATTGCAGTGTATCGGACCAATGTAGAATACGTACATACTACGTTTTCTATAGTGAATACAAAAATATAACCATTAAATCAACGAGCTTAAGACGATATTATTATTTACAGTCCTATGGGTCTCATTAAATTAAAAGTAATCACTATGATTAAGAGATAATTGCTTCAGTAACTTTTCGAATTGTGTATTTTTATATTTAACAAAGGACATATCTATGTAAAAAGTTATATTTTTTTCATACATACAATCTTTACATTTGAATATAATCATTAAATATCTTATTCGTATAATAAACAATAAATAATAGAAATAAAAAAAAAAAAAAAAATAAGTGAACGTATTTATAAGTTTCTAATCTGATTTTTACTTGATTAAGTATGATCTACGGATAAGAATAGAAAATTATTATAATTATCGTCAGAATTAAAATTAAGTTGACGAAATAAAACATAAACGTAAGTTACTTTCTTTCTATCGAATTATTATTAAATAGAAGATTTATTTTGAAATAGAAGATTTTAAGATGAATGAACATGATCTTTTAATTAACATGATCCATCGATACAACAATAATAAATTAATAATCCATAAAAATAATAATAATAATAATTACATACTTATATATGCGTATAATATTAAATTTTAAAATGAAGGAAATTTCTTAGCCATATTTTAATAAGATATAATTATAATAAAAGTATCCTTGATTTCATTAAAGATATACATACATATAATGAAAATGAAGTAGTCGCCAATTAAAAGGTTTAAAAATATCATTCTATATAGGCAAAATATTAAAAATAGGATTCTATCAATAAAAGAGATAAGAAGAAAGAAAGGAAAAAGATAAGAGAGAAAGAGAAAGAAAAAAAGGGGTAAATGAGAGTTGGGAGGGAAGAGGGGGAGGGGTTAAGAAAAAGAAAAGGGGAATAGTTGGAACGATTATCAGGACGATCTGTTGAGGAGAGTGTGCACGATTACGACATAAAACAAGGATATTACCGCATTGAGGTAGAATCGTCGTCGTCGTAGTTGTCGTAGTTATCATCGTCGAGGTTGTCATGGGCCATGGGCACAGGTACTCCGAGGGATTACCACCACTTCTATCGTCTCGCAATCCTCCGTGGTACTCTCGACCCTTTCCAACGTGTTTCCGTGTACGTCACGAGCGAGAGTTACCCCTTCTTCTCTCAACTGGTCCTCTATTTGCGACGTAGAAGAAGGGGTGAAAACGATGCAAAGGGGTGCAACTGGTCCACCACTACCACCACCACTACTACCACCAACATCAATGCTTTCTACCACCTCCACATCTTGGTAGATCACGAGAATGGAAGATTTTGCAGGCTCTGCAAAGTCGTTCGTTCGAAGGAGTCAGTCGTCGGTTGCACGTTCTCGCGAATCAGAGAATAGCCATCGGAAAGTGGTACGAGCCACTAACCGGACCTGGTTCTGGATTGGCACAAATTCACATCTTTTATCTCTCTCTATCTCTCTTTCTCTCTCTTATCATCCTTTGTCTCTAACTTTGTTTTTATCCTCGTCTTCTTTCCTCTTTCTGTCTCTTGAACTTTCCTTTCCTTCCTTCCCTCTCCCTTACCCCCATTTTCTCCATCCCTAATATCCCTTCGACGTTATCCCAAAACAAACGTTTTGAAAAATCGTACAAAAGGATGCATTGAAGGATAAAGAAAGAATGTCGACGGAAGGAGCACACGGAAGAGGCATGACTTCGGAGGCAATCCTCTCCACGTTTCTTCGTCTTCTTCTTCTTCTTCTTCTTTTCCTATTGGACCGCACCGCAGATGCACAGTAAGATCGACGTTATGATGAGGATATTTTTCATCGTCAATGATATAATAACTCTCGTTCTTTAACCGAGCACGAAATATAATTCAATTAAATATTAAATACGATAAGTATGTGAAATTGTGAGGTGAATTTATTACAATACATCGATCGATTTAATTTTCTTCTAAATACGTATGTAATTCTGAATAAAAGTTACAGTGACGAAATAGAGAAAATTGTCTAAACGGTTTAAGTATAACAAATTACTAGTTTGCATTATTTATTTCGATATAGAATCGTTTCGATCGATCAACCTGGTGTGATGTGTTAAATATTGTCAAGATGGAGTGCTTACGGGAGACTTTAACGACCAACCACTTCGCGTTCGGATGTGCTCCAAAACAAAAAGTTCGAGCAGTGTTTTCTCTTTTCGTTTTCCTTCGAAATAACTTTGAAAATTCGCTAGTCGTCGAGAGACGTCTTTATCTTTTTCTTTTCTTTCTTTCTGTTTTTTTTTTTCTTTTTTTTCTCTCTTTCTTTTTTACTTTTTATATCAACAAATATATCTTTTTTTTTTCTTTTCTTTTCTTTTCTTTTTTTTTTTTTACAATTATTTTGTCCTTTTTCCAAATCTGTATTTCAAATCACATAAAGTTTTTCACTTATACAATAATTCGCATATTTTGAAAAATTAAAAAACAAATCGTGCCAAAACGAAAGAGAAATATTTCTTTCAGGAGAAGCTTAGAATTCTTCGATCTTCTGCCGGAGGATCCAAAACTTTACGATAAAATGAGACCACCGAAAAAAGATGGACAAGCGACCGTCGTCTATTTTCATGTCACCGTAATGGGTCTCGATTCGATCGATGAAAATTCAATGGTAAGTACGATTTTCTTATTATCCGATTGAAAATGTTGTCGTCCTCAAATATTGGCAATGATGTCCATTGAAAGACGATAATAATACCTACAGAGGACGAGAGAAAGATATAAAACAATTTACAGACCTACGCTGCGGACATATTTTTTGCTCAAACATGGAAGGACAACAGACTGAGACTACCAGAAAATATGACTTCGGAGTATAGGTATACGATTAATTAATTAATTGTATAAAAATTGTAAGGATAAATAAGGTAATATAGTGAAAAAAAAAAAATTTCTATAAATTAAAACCTCTTGAACGGAATTGAAGATTATTAGAGGTCGACTGGCTGAAGAATATGTGGCGACCTGATTCCTTTTTCAAGAATGCCAAATCGGTGACCTTTCAGACGATGACGATACCAAATCATTATCTCTGGCTCTACAAAGACAAAACTATCCTATATATGGTGAAGTACGTAAAACAAATGTTTCTTAATTACATCTTTGACATAGTTAACTTGATCGTAAAATTAAGAAAAAAAAAATAGAATAAAATAATATAAAAAAAAAAAGAAAAAAAATATATAAGAAAAAATTTTACGTTCAACGATCTTGTTACGATACTTACAGATTGACATTAAAACTCTCTTGCGCTATGAACTTCTTGATTTATCCGCACGACACGCAGGAGTGTAAACTGCAAATGGAGAGCCGTGAGTAATAGTCAATATCTGTAAAAGTTTATCTACGAAATTGCATCTTACAGTAAGCGCATCACTATTACGTTCGCTAATATTCTTTCAAACAAATTACATAGAGAGAAAGAGAGAGAGAGAGAGAGAGAGAAATTTCTATCTTGCATGAATAGTTCGCGAAAGAAACATCCATCCTACTCGAATAAAAAAAAAAAAGAATATCTCAAAGAAAGGTGATATACAAAAAAAAAAAGAAATCGTCCGCGTCATATTTAGCCGATAGTGTGAATGCTTACGTTTTGACAAGGACAAAACAACTCGGTCAACAGTGTCTCACACGACGGATGAAATGATCTTCCAATGGGATCCCGACGTACCACTTGTTGTCGATGAGAACATAGAATTGCCCCAATTACAACTTGTGAAGAACTATACGGCTGACTGCACGCAAGTCTATTCCACCGGTGAGTGATCTGAATAAACTTGTTTGATACGCTTCTTGAAAACAATATGTACGATTAAACATCGAGGATAAATTTGATTTCATTCAATGACAATCTTTTATACGAGAAATTAGAAAGAACAATCCATGCATAAAAATTGAATCAATATTATACCATTATCTAGAATAAAAAAAAATAATAAAACGGATTAGAGTGAGAATGAAAGTGATGCAAATTGACATACGTGAAATTGTATGATAAATAATCTAAAAGCATTACGAGAGATGTTTTTTTTTTTTCTTTCTTTCTTTCTTTCTAATCCACATCATCATTATCATTATTCGGATGAGATAAACAAATTTTATGAACATTTGGATAAAATTGAAAAAATATTTTTTTATACGTAATTCCTAATTTCTTTAAAATTGTTCCGATTCATTTCATATTGTTCGATATATTCGTTTTTTATTATTACAATATTATATAATAAATATTATTATTTATAAATTTTCGAAGGTATATCAAGAAAGTGATTTTATCTTTTAATTTTATATTAAAAAATAAAAATGCCGAGCTATTCTTAGAGCAGCTCAAACACAGTTGATGAATTTCATTAATTCGAAAAGTAGAAGCGTATTCAATAATAGCTTCTCTCCAACTAACCTCGACCTTTTTGAAACTATATTTGGAAGGATGACTCCGTCCTTTAGATTATCGATTTGCTAGATATATCATCAACTTACCCGATTCTATCATATATTTTGCATATGCTTATCTATATACATATACAATAAATATATATACATTAGATAATATACATTATATGTATATATTATAAGGAATAAACAAAGGAACCTTTTATTTTCAGGTAATTTCACCTGTTTGGAAGTGGTATTCGTATTGAAACGACGACTCGGTTATTACCTCTTTCATACATATGTTCCCACGTGTTTAATCGTAATCATGTCGGTGAGTCATGATCCCATAGAAAAAAAAATAAAAAAAAAAAAAATAAAAAAAAATGAAATAAAAAAGAAACTATTAACACTTTGTATGAGGTCGTTTTCCATTTTTACTTCATCTGTGCATTTTCAGAGAATCAGTAAAATGCAACTTTAAAACTATTAATATACTTCAACGAAATCTTGCTAAGAAATAATTAATTACAATAAGTTAACGTGTGAAAAATATTCCGCATATAAAGTTTTAATTAGAGAAGAAAAGAAGAAGAAAAGAAAAAGAAAATAAATGAAAAACGATAATATGTTTACAGATTAGAAAGAAATAAACAAAGAACATATTTCATTTATTTTACAGTGGGTCTCTTTTTGGATCAAACCAGAAGCTGCCCCAGCTAGAGTGACCTTAGGAGTGACATCGTTGCTGACCTTATCGACTCAACACGCAAAGAGTCAAGCCTCTTTACCACCGGTCTCTTATCTAAAAGCCGTCGATGCCTTTATGTCGGTCTGCACGATATTCGTGTTCATGGCATTGATGGAATATTGTCTGGTGAACATAGTTCTCGGTGATTCCGATGCTCCAGCAGCAAAACCACCACCACCACCGGCACCGCCATCTTCTAGCGGCGCCGACTCCACTAAGCTCGATAAAATCTTCGATATTGCAACTAAGGTAACGCCTTATGATGAAGATTTTTATATTAAAAGACGGCGACTTCTGTGCCTCGGAGAGAAAATTTATTAACTCTTTCCGGTCTAATCAAATATTTTTCTTATTTTGTTCATAACATATTTTTTAACGTCAAGGATTACGTTAATGATTCTTCTATTATTTTTTTTCTTTTTTTTTTTTTTTTGTATGTTTGTAATTGATACGACGTTATTACAATCTTGTATTTGTTCGCAAGGAAATGTTACATAAATATTTTTCAAGTTGGAAATATAGAGAGCTTTTAAGTAATCCATTTCTTTTTTTTTTTTTTTTTTTTCATTAAAGAGTTTATTATATGTAGTAGGACCGCAAAGGGTTAATAATGTACATTGATCGCTAAGTAATTTTATAAACTTCATAAATTTTCGTATTTATAAATTTTACGAAAGAATTTGTTTAGACTATACTTTACTTTGGTCTATTAATGTATAAGTATTATGTTTGAAAGATGATTCGATACAAATTGCGATTCAAAGTGTTTCGAGAAAATTAATATTTTATAGAAAATAACTTGTCTTTGTCTTTCTTCGTATATTTTCATTTTTTTTTTTTTTTTTTACACTTGTCTTTATCTTTCTATATTTTACTATATTTTTAGTTATTATTACTTTTTTTTTTTTTTTTTTTTTTTGATTTCTTTTAATTTATACGCGAGAGAGGGACTGATAAAGAGATAGAGAAAGACAGAGTGCTCCGAGGCACAGGAGAGACGTCTTCTTAGCGGTGGTTCAAGTTGTGATCGTTGTCACGCAGGAAAATGCCATGTTATTGTCCGGCCGATCGCAGAAGTCGAATTCAGGTCCACCACCAGGACCAACGCCGGCTCAGAAGGCAAGAATGAGAGCTTTGAACATCGATCGAGTTTCACGTGTTTTCTTTCCTTTTCTTTTTGCCGTATTGAATGTCACTTATTGGATAATGTTCGCTGAATATATATAAAAAATCTTCTTTTATCTGAGAAAAAGTCAACAATTTGAGAAGAGAGAGAGAGAAATAATCAGAATGCAAGATACCCGTTTAAAATGAGAAAGAGTGAGAAAGATGAAATGTAAAATTGGATGTATGTTAAAGTGTATGTGTGTATGTATGTGAGAAAGAGAGAGAGAGAGAGAGAGAGAGAGAGAGAACTAACACACATTAATTATTAAAAAGATGGCATCGAGTCGTGAACAAAAAGAAAAACTAACAAAAAAAAATAAAAAGAAAAGAAAAGAAACCTAACTTATTTTTAACTCGAAAAACTCATGCATCGTTATAAGATCCATAAACGATAGATAAAAACGTATTACTTAGACATATCTCGCGCTCTTTTTTTTTCTCGAAATAAATGGCTATTTAAAAAAGAAAAAAAAAGAAAGAAAGAAAGAAGAAAAATCAACGATCGATCGAGAAAAATTTGGGCGCTAAATACGAACGATCGTCGCGATCGAAAATTAAAATATCGAATCGTTGATCTATCGCGATAAAGAAAAAAAAGAAAAAGAAAAAAGTGAAATAGAGTTAGGTAAAATCGAATCTGTAATTAATTATGATTAAAGGGTTTTCGCTTAAAAATAAAAAAAATAATAATAATAAAACAATAAATAAAAAATAAAAAATAAAAGAAGAAAGAGAGATGTGCCTAGAAAAATTTGTCGATCTCGATATCGTAGAAATTATTGCACCTGCCGCCATTCCTTCGAATTATTCGTGCAAAAAAGAGTTTGCGCAATTGCAAAAAGTAAATCGTCCAATCGAAAGCTTTTAGATTGCTTTTTTAATTTAACTTTTCACTGATCTCTGCTTTTCGGACATTCACATGAGTCTCGTTATGACGAGAATTAAAAGAAAGGAAAAAGAATGAAAAGAAATGAATCAATCTAATTCAATCTAATTTAATCATTAAGAGTTATCAGGTTTAAATAGAAGAATATAATTAACATTTGTTTATCGATCAGTATGGATCTTGTAAATTTTTTAAATTTACAGGATCAAGATCTTGTAAATTTTTAAAAAATCCTTGTCGAACACAATAACGAATGTTTTTCATCGACATGATTACATTTTGGTACCGCAATCATTCTTCGATGTCTCTCGTCTATATATATATATATATATATATATATATATATAGATACTATGATAGCATTGAATTCATTTAGAACACCCGCTGTATATACGAAGATAAGATAATAATCGTTATATTAAAGAGAATAGAGGAGAAAAAAAATGAAAAGAGAAAAGAAATATTTTCGAAGTAAAATAAAATGAAATATTCAGAGAAGTTATTTCGATCATGTATATATATATATACATGATATATATATACATATATATATATATATATATATATATATATATATATAGAGAGAGAGAGAGAGAGAGAGAGAAAGAGAGAGAGAGAGAGAGAGAGAGAGAGAGAGAGAGAGAAGTAATCTTCCGTCAACTAAAAAATTTCGTTCGCGTAAATTCGCACCGATTGTGCGTCTTTAATGTACATACATACACATACACATAAACACACACACACATACACCCACATACAAGATATATATACATATACATAAATACAAAGCAACAAAACTTGATTTGTTCTTCTCGTAGGAATATTAATCGAATTAATTATTGCAGTGAAAATATTCGTCCATTTACGAAGGAATGACCATTTAAATTACGAGATCGAACACAGGCCTCGTATCTATAATTATGTATAATGAGAATGTGTATAAAATAAAGTATGATAATGCACGATTTTAAATTTACTACATTGTAATATCCCTTTTCCCGGAATCGATTGAAACATCTCATTATTACAAACGATATTAAAAAAATTAAAGATAACAATAATAGAATATAATACTTATTATTAAGTTGAATATTTCTTTTACACCCTATATATAGAATGACTGAAGTAATATATATTCAATTCGTAATCATTTTATAATACAATCTTGATGAATCATTATTGAAATTAGAAATTAATTAAATTTTTCAAATCTGAATAATTGTCATGTTATACACTATATAATTTCAGATAAAAGAAACGTATTAATAATAAATTTATTAATATTATTTCAGTATATTGAGATCGATGAAAATAAAAATTACATATCTATATCTTATTATATCCTATAATATACATATATATACATATATATATATATATATATAATTTATCTAGATAACGATTGTTTAATTATCGTTCATCGTTAGAATCGTTGACAAAGTCTAGCAAAAAAATTTTATAAAAAGATCGAAAGTAAAGAGAGAAAGAGATGGGATTAGAGTACAAAGTAAAGAAAGAAATAGTGAGAGTGAAAGAGTGATAGAGAGAGAGAGAGAGAGAGACAGAGAGAGAGACAGAGAGAGAGAGAGAGAGAGAGAGAGAGAGAGAGAGAGAGAGAGAGAGAGAGAGAGAGAAACAGATACTAGCAGCAGGCACGCATACGCTAAAGAGCAGAACGCTTTTAAACGTTGAACGAAGAAAGAATGATTGATAAGAGTAAAGAAGAGAGAAGAGGAAGAGAAGGCATTGGCATCCGGCTATCATAACCGGGATATATACATCCTAGAGATAAAACGCTGCCCACGCGCTTCTCTTCCTTCCTTTCTAATCGTCTCACACAGTAAGCGTGAAACAAATTCATTACGATTGAATAATTTCTTTCTTTTTTTTTTTTTTTTTTTTTTTTTTTTACTTTTTTTTTCTTTATTTTCTTTATTTTCTTTTCTTTTGTTTTTATTTCCTAAATGTAAAAAACCATGTACACGTATTTACATTTTTACGCAATATTATATTTTTATACGATAAACACGTAATTCTCTGAAATTAAATGGCCGCCACATTGAAGTCATTGAAATGATCAATACAAAAAGTATTACGATTTATATTATATACAAGGAATCGTAGGTCTGTAAAAATTTTTAATTATTCGCACGATGTGATCATCGTAAATATATATATATGTATATATATTGATAAAACACAGAACTTAGAAAATTTCTCTCTGACTACAGGGAGCTCCTACATTTCTGATGTTAAGAAAAACAAGGGTCCACTTTCTACGAACGATCTTTGAACATCTGGCAAGTCATGATCTTTACCACACCCCCTTTCCTCCCCCATCTCCACTACCATTATAAGTTTTTCAAAGAAGAGATAATTTTACGAAAACTAATGTCAAATGTACTCTTCTAAGACCATATTAAAAGTATCTTCGCTAAAAATTTATGAAATATTCTCATAATATAATTGCAAAAAAAAAAAAGAACAGTTAGGATACATTCCCGATATAATATTAACATTAAAATCAAAATCTTATGATATTATCGATCGGTCAGAAAAATCATAGACGACTTAAATAATTATTAAAATATAAAATTGTCTTACGTGTCATTTTATATATATATATACATAATATTAATTCGTTTAATAAGCAGTAACGTTTAAATCTAATATAACAAGTTTTCTTCGATTTTAAATACACGTGTTTTTGAAAAAAAAATTTTAATTCGATTATCGAATCATTCGGTCGAATATGTGAAACGCTCATTACTTTTTTTTTTTTTTTTTTTTTTTTTTCATATAATATCCAATAAACTTATAATGTTTCGTAAGATTAAAATGATAAATAAAAAGAGAAGAATATTATGGCGCGGGGTACTGAATTCATTTTGATAGAGAGCTACGGCACTGTCGTCGTGTCTTGAGTCCGAACGAACGAAGCGGCTCGCTCTCTCGCTTCGAGACGCGTCTCTCTCGCGAGGCGTCAGCCTTGTTGGGAGTCTTGTCGTCGAGAGTCCTCTCCTATTAAATTTTCCTTTCTATTTTGCGTTGAAGAGTTTGAGTTTTTGTGGATATAAGATAGTGCAATACCGTGTTAACATGTAATATATATATATAAATATATATATACATACATATATATATATATATATATATATATATATATATATATATGTTGAAAAAGCTCGTGACTTGATCGGTCTCGGTAAAATCGGTTTTTGAAAAGAGGGATAAAGAGGAGAAAGGGTCCCAAAATCGTTGCTAACAAAGTAGGGAGTTGTGAGACTGAAGTGGGAGAGAAAAAAAGAGATAGAGTAAGAGAGAGAGAGAGAGAGAGAGGGAGAGAAAGAGAAAGAGAGAGATAGAGATAGATAAAGATATAGTGGGAGTTTTAGAGTGGGGAGAACCGAGAAAGAGAGAGAGAAAAAGAAAAGGGACGTACTCGTGTGCGCGGAGGGACATGACCGTACAACAAATCTCGGTGAAGATTTTCTCACTCTTTCGAACAGTGTCTCGTCGTCAGAATTAGTAGAAAGACGACGAGAAAGGAGTTTATCCGGAGGTTGGTAAAGCTGAGCAGAGAAAAACGAAAGAAAGAAATAGAAAGAGAAAGAGAGAGAGAGAGAGAGAGAGAGAGTGAGAGAGTGAGAGAGATAGAGAGAGATAGAAACGAATAGGGAGTTCGAGTAAACTTTGTGATAGAAGAAACGGTAGGGATCAAAAAAGATCGAAGAATTCACTATGGATATATGTATTTATGTGCGGGGTGCATCGATATGTGTTTTTCTTTTGAAATGTGCCCATGCGCACGCGCAATGACGTCCGCGATTGTATGCATGTACACCTATTTGAAATCGATCGATCCTGCTCGATCGACGAATAAGATCGATGAAGATCATTTTCGAACGATGACATTATATTAAAAGATCTCTTTTTATTTTCTCAACGTTTAAAGGAAAAAAGAGAAAAGGGATGATTGATATAACGATATTATATATCACAAGTTTTTTCGGCTTTTATTTTAAATCTATTTATTTATTATCTAAACAATTAGAGAGCATTATGGTGAACTCTTGTTTTTTTCTTCGTTTGTTTTGTTTTGTTTTGTTTTCTTTTTTCTTTTTTTTTTTTTGTTCTTCTTCTTTCCTCTTCTCTTGTAAAACATACATCTGACGTATGTTTTACGATCGTATATATCTGTAATGATCTCATAATGAAAAAAAAAAAAAAAAAAAAGAAAATAGTAGAGGCACGTGGCTCTTTCTATTTATAGTCCTTCGTTTCTAGTCGACGTATTATTAGAATGAAAATAGGATTACGAAAAAAAAAAAAAAAAACGAAAAAGGAAAAAAGACATGTGCTATTGAAATAAATCATCGAGTATCATCAAGTATCATCTCACGTACTCATCTTACGAATGAACAATTCATTTGATTTATGCGTTTACACTTATTGCATCGTGTGTATGTGTGTATGTGTATGTGTATGTGTGTGTATATATATATGTGTGTGTGTGTGTATGTATGTATTCGCAATGTGTTTGAAATACAAGCATTTCTTTCTTTATTTTATAGAGTTAAATGGAGTCCATGTTAAGTTAAATCCTCTCACGATTTGTGTACAACATGATGCTCGTCGACTTGAGCGGGAAATACTTAAAAATGGCCGAACATTTTTATTGGCGAATCTTCATTGCAATTTTTATTTTTGCGACTTTCATTTCGACAGGTAAGAAATAATTATAATCTTATATGATTTTAATCGATTTAAATATCTTTCAAGAGAAATCTAATCCTATTGATTTTCTATCTGTTTATTTATATAATATTTTTCTTTTTCTTTTTTTTTCGTCTTCTATTTCTCTTTGTTTATCTATTTTGAATTTCAAAGACAACGATAAAATTGTAAGAATATAACAGAAGAAAAATATAACAGAAGATAACGTTCGTTGATTAACATAATAAAACTATAAAGAAATAAAAAAGGAAAAGATACGTCCGAACTGAAAATTCACTGATCATAAATAATGATCGTTCTTTTTATTTCATGTCTCTTACTACGAGAAAATTTTATCCAGAACGATTAGATAACAGTAAGACCTCACGACCCCGTCATTGCTTTGAACTCTTTGTATATATTCACCAAATTTAAGCGCCCTAGATATATGATCGATTATCATTGAATTTTTAATCGACTGAAAAACGGAAATTACTAAATTTCTATAAAGGATAAAATATTTTTATGAGTTCTTTTCTTTTTCTTTTTCTTCTTTTTTTTTGTTATTGCAGTAAAAAAAAGGAAAAAAAAAGGAATTCAATCATTTTTATAAAAATTATTTCTTTCGTCGTTATACACATGCAAAGTTAAAAAGAATGGTCGCATTGTGAAATCCACTATTGTCTACGATATTTTAAAAAAATGGATTAATAAAATATAAAAAGAAAAAAAAATTTATAATTAGTTGTTTTTATAGCATATAATCTTCATATACATTACGAATAATTTTACAAGCTGTTTCATCATAAACAATCCCGTTCCCCCTATCGTGATAACAACTACCGGTAGTAAAATGCTCCATGATGATAACTTTACATTCCGAGAATCATTGAAATATTTCCTTCTAAGAATGATTTAAAATTGATAGAGTTATATCTTTTTAGGTTCTACAGAAGCCCACCAAACAAGGGATTTAAGGTTGCCAATAAACAGAGGTGAGTTATCTTCAAGCAAATAATCTTCAAGATTAACAGATGTTTCTAAAGAAATGAGAAAAATATAAAAAGTGAAATAATTTTATAAGACAGTTGGTAAAAAAAAAAAAAAAAAAATGAATGAAAATAAATAAATTATTATACGAGTCTAATAATAGATAAAGATTGAATGAAATATAGGAACAATGCTCGGAGGAAACGGCTCACCGACGGAAATAATAACAAGACGTCATAATTGGCTAGGGATGACCATCCCTCAACGAAGAGGTAGTTCAATGACGTAAAATATGTGTATATGATATTCTATTCTGCACATAATTAACTGGTTGTGGGATGCAATATCTTCCTTCGGTCATTCTTTTATTAATAATAATAGATAGTGTTTTAATTCCTTCTTTAACATTATTAAGAAAAATTATTAGAGTTGAAAAAAATATACATATGTATACGTGGAAGAACGTTTATCGAGGTTCAGTTATTTCTAGTTTTAAATATATTGATGAAACGTTATTTCTTTGTTCACAGGTTCACATCCCAAAAGACCACATCCTTGTGAACAAAGTTCGTGTTATCCTGCCACGGGGAATCTTTTGATTGGCCGAAAAAATCGCTTGACTGCTTCGTCTACTTGTGGTCTCAAGGGTCCAGAAAGATATTGCATCGTTTCTCATCTTAAAGAACGAAAAAAATGCTTCTTCTGCGATGCATCCTTGCCCAAACAACAGCACAATATTGAGAATATCGTTGATGGGTAAATAATTTTCCTTTTTTTTTTTTTTCTTTTTTTTCCGAATAGATTTAAGACCCAAGAATAAATCAATTGAACTCATAAAACATTTCGATTTAATTCGTTATATTATCGTTCACGTTACAGAACAAATTCACGATATTGGTGGCAAGCTGAAAATGGAATAGAATATGTAACCATCAGATTCGATCTAGAGGCTGAATTTCATTTCACTCATATCATCATTCGTTTCCAAACCTTCCGTCCCGCAGCTATGCTTATAGAAAGATCTTTCGATTTTGGAAAAACTTGGAAGGTTTACAGATACTTTGCCCATAATTGCGAGCAATCCTTCCCAGGTGTAGCTACGCATCAACCACAAAGTTTGACCGATGTAATATGTGAAACGCGTTATTCTGGCGTAGCCCCATCCACTGGTGGTGAAGTAATCTTCAGGTGAAATAAAGTTTTTTAATTTCTTTAACAAGTAATCCCATGTGTCTACATAATTCATAAATATATTTATATATTACAGAGTATTGCCACGAAATTTGGAAATCGATAATCCGTATTCGATAGAAGTACAAAATTTATTGAAGATAACCACCCTCAGAATCAACATGACGAGATTACATACATTGGGAGACGATTTGTTGGATTATCGTCCAGAGACTGGGGAGAAATATTATTATGCTATCCAAGACATGGTGATTCGAGGATCCTGTTCTTGTTATGGGCACGCATCGAGATGTCTTCCTTTACCAGGAGTGGCACAAGAAGAAAATATGGTACATGGAAAATGCGAATGTACTCACAACACAAAAGGACTGAATTGTGAAAAATGCGAGGATTTCTATAATGATTTACCTTGGAAACCAGCGGTTGGTAAACAAACGAACGCTTGTAGACCTTGTAATTGTAACAATCATACATCTTCCTGTCACTTTGACGAAACAGTTTACGAAAGATCTGGTAGAGTTTCTGGTGGTGTATGCGATGATTGTCAGCATAACACTCGTGGTCAAAATTGTGAACAGTGCAAGCCATTTTATTATCATGATGTTAGTAAAGATATCTCGGATATTGAAGCCTGTCAACGTAAGTTATTTAAATATTCTTTTGACAAATAATTCTATTCGATGAAAAATAATGATCATTTAATTAGGATATCTCATTTATATAATTTTACAGCTTGCGATTGTGATCTTAGTGGATCCTTGGACGATGGCATATGTGATTCCAGAACCGATCCTCTTAGTGGCGATGAGTCTGGTCGTTGTCACTGTAAAGCGAACGTAGAGGGTCGTCGTTGTGATCATTGCAAGAATGGTTTTTGGAATTTCAATTCAGAAAATCCTCAAGGATGCCAAGGTAGAAAATATTGAAAATTATAATTAAATATTCAATAGCTATAAACATAATGTATATTTCGAAATATTAAGTATTCATCAATAAATTTCTTATTAATTTACAGCATGTACTTGTAACACTCTTGGTACCATCGATAATCAGGGTTGTAATATGATAACTGGTGAATGTACTTGTAAACGTTACGTTACCGCACGAGATTGTAATCAATGCTTGCCAGGATATTGGGGACTTTCTGAAGATCCCGATGGATGTAAACCTTGCGATTGCGATCGTGGTGGTTCATATGAAAATTCTTGCGACGTTGTTACCGGACAATGTCGATGCAGACCACACATCATCGGTAGAACTTGTAATCAACCAGAACAAGGCTATTATACCGGCTCTTTAGACTTTTTAATTTATGAAGGTGAACTATCAAGAGCAACTGACGTAAGTTATACACGAATATTTATTTTTATTTAATTAGACAATTCATCTTTTTTTTTTTTTTGATACTATACTTAACTGAATATATTTCCTTCAGAATTGTCAAGTTGTAATAAGAGAACCTTATCGCGATGGAAGAAATAGTACTTGGACGGGGACTGGATTTATGAAAGCTTTACAAGATTCAACTCTCAACTTTACGATCGATGATATTCGTAGATCCATGTGGTACGATATAATAGTACGCTATGAACCAATTCAGTCGGGTACATGGGAAGATGTTCAAATAATTATTGAAAGAGACGAACCTGTCGATCTTAATGGTCCTTGTGCCAATTCAAAACCAGAATATGATCGATTATGGGTACAGTTACCATATAATTCAAGAAATTCCGTTGCTCAACCTTCCGTTTGTTTAGAAAAAGGCAAAAAATACAACGTCATATTGCAATTCCGTAAATTTAATAGTCATGTAGATACACCAACGGCATCCATATTAATTGATTCTGTAAGTATAATTTTACATATACATAAATCAATCTATGTATATATGTTTATAATATTATCTTTAAATATCTTTACATCAAGATTATTGTGAGACCAAGAATAGATGCCGTACCTTTCTTCAATGCACTTGATGTCGGTGAATTACGTCGTCAGGAATATGAGTTATGCAATCAAATACTTAACGATGTCAATTACATTCGGAATAATTTACCTGATGCATGTAAAAAGTATCAGGACAGTATCGGTTATTATGTCTTTGAGGGTGCACATCGTAAGTATAATAAATTTGACAAAAACAATTAAGTATACATTATTGTTGAAGATTATAGAAATTATAAAAAATATTTTATTGCAGCTTGCGAGTGTAATCCTACAGGATCACATAGTCTTCTTTGTCAGAATTATGGTGGCTTATGTCCTTGTAAAGTTAACGTAGTCGGTAGACGATGCGATCGTTGTGCACCGGGAACTTATGGATTTGGTCCAACAGGATGTATACCTTGCGATTGCGATGGCGTTGGTGCTTTGGATAATTTTTGTGACGTTAAAACTGGACGATGCAAGTGTCGACCAAATACGTATGGAAGAACGTGTGGCCAATGTGAACCAGGTTTTTGGAATTTTCCACATTGTCAACGATGTCAATGTCATGGTCATGCAGATAATTGTGACTCTAGAACCGGAGCTTGCATCAATTGTCGTGATTCTACCACTGGTCACAATTGTGATCGTTGTATTGAAACTTTTTATGGTGATCCACGAATAGGAGTGGACATACCATGTAGACCTTGTCCTTGTCCAGGTAAGAACTGTGTATCAAAGAAGAAAAAAATGTAACCTTTAGTAAGCATTTGAAGTAATGAATAATACAGTTTTTCTTATTTATTAATTTTTTTTCTGTTTTTTTGTTTTTTTTTTTATATACAAACGTAGGTACATTAGATTCTGGTCACTCATACGCGGATAGTTGTTCCCTCGATTCTGTAACTCAGGATGTAATTTGTGAGTGTTATGAGGGATACGGCGGTCCACGTTGCGAAAAGTGTGCTGAGAATTATTTCGGCAATCCTGAAGTACCAGGTGGAAATTGCGAGCTTTGTGAATGTAATAATAATTCCGATCTGAGTCAACCTGGTAACTGTGATCCACATAGCGGACATTGTCTACAATGTCTCTACAATACCGATGGACCGAACTGTCAAATTTGCAAACCTGGATTTTACGGTGATGCACTTAAACAAGATTGTAAAGAATGTAATTGCGATTTCCTAGGATCCGACAGATCGATTGGACCTTGCGATCATCGTACTGGACAGTGTCCTTGCTTGCCACATGTGATTGGTCAACGTTGTGACAATTGCGAAGAAAATCATTGGAGAATTGCAAGCGGTCAAGGTTGTGATCCTTGCGAATGTGACGCTGTTGGAAGTGTATCTGACAAGTACGTGATAAATTTGATGTATATGTAATCGATCGATCAAATAATTAGTTCGATCATTTTTAACTCTTCTTTTTAAACATTTGAAAACAGGTGTAATCCCTTCGATGGAAGTTGCGAGTGTAGAGCAGGTTTTGGTGGACGAAGATGCAATGAATGTCAAACGAATTTCTGGGGAAATCCAAATATCGAATGTACACCATGCGAATGCAATGTAATTGGTTCTTCAAGTCAACAGTGTAATAGAGAAACCGGTGTCTGTATTTGTCACAAAGGAATAGGAGGTGAAAAGTGTGACCAATGTGACCGTGGTTATCATGGAGAGGCACCACAATGTAGTCCGTGCGGTGAATGTTTCGACAATTGGGATTTAACATTAGACGAATTGAAAAACAAGACGAATCTTGTAATAGAGGAAGCTTCCAGAATACAGAAGGTCGGTACTACTGGGGTTTACAGTCAGGAATTCGACGATATGGTCAATTCATTGAACCAAGTACGTGATTTGATCAGCAATACTTCTATCAAGAGTCAAGATTTAGATGAGTTAACAGATTTGGCCGAAGAATTGAGTAAGAATATTTCAAATTCAGCGAAGCAACTTGAGGAAGTCGACAATATGTTAGAAAATGTTAGTCAACGAGTTAATCTTGGCGATGTCGCATTAAAGAAATTGAAAAATAGAACGAATAGCTTGCATCAGGGTGCTATGGAATTAAAAGAGAACGCAACGATATTACAAGAGGAGAATGTTCAAGGTGCCCTAAATGTGACGCAACAAATGGCCGAGCAATCTCGACAAGCCGAAAAAATGGCAAACGCTACGAGTAATATATTGGCCGATGCGGAGAGATATCGCAAACATACGGAAAATCTCTTAATCAAAAATAGTGTATCGTTTAACGAAGCCCAAGAGAGAAATAACGAATCTCTTCTAAAATTAAGCGATAAGTTAAATACATTGAACGAAGATATGCCTGAATTGAACCTTAAAATGTGTGGCGACAATGTCACCGATTGTAGCAACGTTTGTGGCGGCGCTGGATGTGGCTTCTGCGGAGGACTCTCTTGTGACATTGGCGCGATAACCAAAGCTAATCAAGCATTGGATGTGGCCAAACAACAAGCTGATAAAATTAAAAATCAAAAGGATGAAGCAGAACAATTATTACGTAATGTATGTTTATCGGTTTCTTCTTTTTTTTCTAATATTTTTCCTTATTATACGTTTCATGAAACAATTTTCATTTTTTACAGATGATCCAAATCAAACAAGATGCCGTAGCGGCTAGATCGAATGCACAAGATGCATTTAATAATGCTTTAGAAGCAAGAAATCGTTCCGACAAGATTACCAAAAGTTTATCCGACACTAACAAGCGAATTTGGAGTATGCTGGACGAGGAACAGCCAACACCTACGATGGTCAGAGATCTGGCTAACGACATATTAAACAAGAACATAAAATTAAAACCTGATGAGATCAAACGATTGGCCAGTCGCATAAAAACTATCGTCGGTTCTCTCACGGATTCCGACAAAATTCTTGCCGACACAAAGGACGATCTCGAATTAGCTCATAACCTAGAGGAAAGTGCTAATCAAGCCAAGGATACAGCGTTGAAAAAACAAAATGAAACGAACGAAGTTGTATTGTTATTAACAGAAGCGAAAAAGGCACAGGAATTGGCAAAGGCCGCCATAGATACAGCTCAAAGTGACGTGGCCAAATCGGAAAAAGATTTGACCGATATAGCTGTCCTCATAAAGGAAGCTCAAACAAAAGCCAATGATACCACCGATTCCGTAAAAGCTTTGGACACAAGATTGAAACAATTACAAAAGCAATCGGCCAAGAACGCTTTCATTTTGAATAAGGAGATAGAAGTTGAAACTCTTAAAGTCGCCAATGAGGCTCGTGTCGTCGAGGGAAAAACGAAAAAATTAGCGGAGGAGTATAAAAAGGCTGACGAATTTTTAAATTATCGAATAAATAAGAGCGAAGATGATATAAAGCGAGCCAAGAAATTACTTCAAAGAGCTTCCGAATTGACAGCTGATACATCTACTAAATTTAAAGACTTAGACGGTATGGAAAGCGTTTATAAAGACAACGAGAGAATATTAACCGATCTCATGGCCGAAATAGATTCCCTAACCGTAGAAATGGTGAAACATTTAGCAGAGATCGAGCGAAAGGCACAGATCTACAGACAATGCACCTCTTAATGCGCATTTATTTATAACGTTTATGGCACCTTAGAATCAAATATTCAAAAGAAATCTCTATTCGGCTCATCCTTCTAACGACATTAACTCTTAATCCCAATCGATAATAATTTTCTAAATAATTACTAAAATTAAACATATCATATTATTAATCAAATAGTTTCTATCACGTTTATATTTACATCATATTCTCATCTTTTTTAATTCATACTTATATAATGTACTAACGTAGATATCGATGACGGTCAATTGTTTTTATAGTGCCATAATATCTAACAAAAGTGCCGTGTTTTTCTGTGAATGAAATCGAATCTAATCGAACTGTATTTTTACTTACATTTTTGCAATTATTTTATTTGTGTTTTTTTTTTCTTTTTTTTTTTTTTTTTTTTTTTTTCTTACAAAGCTATTTTGTATAATGTCATTTGCCCTATAATACTTTCTGTTGTACATATGTAGTTTTTACATCTATATATATATATATATATGCGTTAATTTGTATCGCACAACAATTATAGAAATAATCATTTGATCGTTTCTATAATTTTCATTTAATATTGTATTAAAAGACAACATTAGGTAATATGATTTAATATAGACGCTTAATACAACGTCAAAGTTCTCGAAGAGAATTAATCTTTTTTATATAACATTAAGGAAAGAAAAGAAAAAAAAATTGTAGTGTTATGATCGAACCAAATGCCTTAGTAAATATATAAATAGGATATAATAAAAAATTTGTTATCAATATAATACGCAATAGAATAATATGTTAGAATAAATAAACGTGATTAACAGAATCGAAAAATAATCTATGAGATAAAATAGAAATCGATTCAATTGACGCCAAAATCTTCTTCATAAAAGTCCATTAAAATGACATGTTCAAAGTAATATTTTTAACGTGAATATTCGTAAAAATAGAACCATAAGTTTCCATTGCCCCTGAAATAATCTTATTTCCTTATATAAGACGAAACTTTGATAGATAGGAAGAAGGAAAATAGTGCCGGAAATACGATAAGAGAAAAGATAAGAAATTTACTGCGATAATTAGTTACTTTTAAACAGTAAAAGATTCAACATTTACTTCTTATTTTTCTTAAATGAAAAACAAAATTGTTTCTTTCTTTTTCTTTCTCTTTTTTTATTTTTTCATTTTTTCTCTTAAGAAAAAAGAAAAAGCAGAAACCAAAAAAAAAGAAAGAAAGAAAAAAATTGTTTCCCTAATAAATCCCATAAGATTAAAAATCGTTTCTTTCGTAGGTCATCTAAATTGAGATTCTAAAAATTAATTCGATGTAGAAAATGTGATCGATTTGATTAGAAATTTTTTTATACAGGGAATTATTTACGTCAATATTTTCTTTGTTTTTTTTTTTTTTTTTTTTTTTTTTTTTTCATATTTTTGTTTTGTTTTCCTTTGCTTTATTTTGTTTCTTTATGGAAAGTTCCCGTTGACTTTCAGGATCACATCCTGGAGTAGAATTTCACCGTAAAAGCAATCCTTGCTGTTTATTGTAGTAATACCCAATGTCAGGGGATAGACACACGTGCGTAAATAGAAATTTCCCTGTTAAACTTTCCCTCCCCCTTTTTTCGATAATCGAGCGACGTCAGTGACGATAGCTTTTACGGGAACTCCCATCTGCATTTTTCTTTTTTTCTTTTCTTCCTTATTTCTTTTTTTTTCTTTTCTTTTTTTTTTATTATTATTTTCCTTCCGTTGCACCTCCTCGAACGAAATCGCCTTTCTCTTTGAAACATGGCCAGACGCTAGAGAGTATTTCGTGAATAAAGAAGAGCTTTGTTGAATTCAAATGGTGTATGTATGAGGGCTCACGGGGTTGCGTACAATGAGTTCATTCAATACGAACCTCGGTGGTTCTCAAACTGCATTAGATCGACGAAGGATCTTTGAATTAATCCTTTTTTAATTTGTTAAATATCCACGCGATCACGTTAAAAATGAATATCAAACATGTAACAATAAATATTGAAACGAAAAACTTCGTTCGAATTAAGTTTACGCGTGTTATTTAATTGTTCGATTGAAAATAATTTTCTTTAATATTTTTTTTTTTCCTCTTCATTTTTTCTCTCCGATCGAATATATTAATTACGTAATAAAAATTTGAAAATCAAAAGAAAGGAATGATACAAAGATTAAATGTATTATTGGAAAAGTAATTGAAACGTATTTTTTTACGACGTAGATATTTTTAGTGTCGCAATAAAAATTAAAAAAAAAAAACAAACAAACAAACAAAAAAATAGAAATTAAAAATTAAAAGAAGAAAAAGTGTAAAAATAAAAAAATAAAAAATCAGTTATTATTAAAAATTATTAAAAACATACAAAGTTATTATAAAAGTTATCATAATGTAAGTATATCTTTTATCTAATAAAAGCTTATATTTCAATAGGGAAAATTATTGAGAAGCACTGGATTTCAACGAACGATCGTGTGGTCATTACCGTTAAGATTTCTCTATATACATTACAGCCGTCTAATGAATTAACATACCAAACGAATATGCATACAAGTAATACGTATGCACTAATATTACATACCTCGATTATGTTCTATGGGCTATTTTATTTTTAAAGTTTGTAAAATCAATAAAGGTACTTATTGAAATGTTATATATATATATATATATATACAGGACGATTCAATAATTATTATCATTCAAAAATAATTTTTTAAAGATTTTTCAAAAGAACTTTATCAATTACTAGATCAAAAAATCATTTGTATAATATACGTTCAACGTAAAAGATTTTTGTATATATAATTAATTGGATATATAATTAAAAATAAAAAAAAAAAGAGAATTATGGAATTATTTTAACTTTTTATAACAGTAATAATTATTGACTCTGTATATTTTTCAATCCTCGCATTCGATAAATTTATCGATGATTGAACGGCCATTCTTTTCATTGGACAAAGATTAAAATTATCTCAAAGCATATATTAAATGGTACAGATAGAATTCTTGGATGTTACAATCGACTTGTAGGGCGAAAAAAATATCGTATCGAGAAAGAGAAAAATAATGGGATAGAAGAAACGTAAAATGTAATATTCTTCTTATCAATGCATACGCATATTGAATATTATGCTTTAGTAAATACAAAGAAAAATTTTTTTTCCTTTTAAGAGATAACTCTATATCAATTTTTGAAATCATAATCTTCCCTTTGCCCGCAACAGAAACGTTTAGGCAAACGATAACCCTAAGTTCAAACAGAGAATTGATATGACAGTGCGATTATATGGGAAAGAATTTATTTTTTTTAATTTTCGCTTTGTCCTTTTTTTTAAAACGATTAAAAGATCTCTCATCAAGGATATCTTTCTTGTTGCATACATATAAAAAAAAAAAAAAAAAAAAAAGAAAAGAATTCAATATCTTTTATCGATTTTCTTGAATCGATTGAATTGATTTAAACGACGTGTTTGTTAAGATACTAAACTATCGATCGATCAGTAGGATATAAGCTCGTAGATATTTCCAAAATCGAAAGATAAATAATAAAGAGATAAATAATAAAAAATAAAAAATTTACAAATCAAAGAAAGAATTCAAACGATCCGTTAGATTTCCCACAAGTCGTAAGTTAAAGCCAATGTCAGAGTTGTATAACTCGTATAGCCATCAGGGATCAACGCGCGAGGGGTTGAAAGATGTAAAGACAGGTAAGAGCATGAAAAGAGGAGTTAGAGAAAGAGAAAGAGAGAGAGAGAGAGAGAGAGAGAGTGAGATGGAAGAGAAGGAGGAGAGTTTACATAGACGCAGTATGTTCTCTTCGTAGAGAGGGGCAAGAAAATGGCTCCTGCCGATTGTTCGGCATCTTTTGTAGGTAGTAAGTCGGTTTGACAGCTGGTTCTTGCCGAAGAGGAGTAAGGGGAATTGGAAGGGGCCCATGTCGCAGAGCAGCAGTAATAAGTATAATGGTTAGTATGGGGAGGAGAAGGAGGAGGAGAGGGGTAACACCAATCGTCTCTTTTCTCCCATGGGATGAAATGGTTTCTTACCTTCCCTATTCGAAATTCAAAAACGACAGGCACGAGCCAAAGAATAAAATAGCTTCTGCATAATCGCGTGTTGAAGTTTAGACATTTATGATCGAGATCGATCATGAGAACGAATATTTTTTATCAATCGAAATTGTATCACCTCGATAATCGTACAATGATCTTTGAAAATAATCTATTGATCTATCCGAGAATATTAATCGATTTTATGTGAAAGAAGAAAAGTTTTACAATAATTTTATTATCGAAGATCTAAAATAGAGGTTCATTGATCGGAAAGATATTGATCAAATATAATCGATAAACTTGGTATGTTGACCTTTTTATTGACGACAATAGACACAAAAAATAACAACTCGTTGGGAAACTAATTCGAGACTTGTTTATCCTTCTTTCTTTGTTTTCTTTTTTTTTTGTTTTGTTTTTTCCATTTATAGACTTGTTTATCCTTCCTTTTTTTTCGTTCTTTTCAAAATATCACAAGCATTGATACAAAAGAATCGATCTTCGATTTATATAATAAATTTAAAGGTAAGATCGTGTTTCCAAATCTCTTTATTTATTTTTTGTTTTTTTTTTTAAATAATAATATTTATTATAATCGTCTTTGTCTAATCGTTCGATGCTTTTGAAGGTGGATATCTTGAAACGGTCATGCGATCATTCATAAAAAAGATTTAAGTCGGTCTATGATAAAAGTAAAGTTAGGTGTGTCGTAAATTATATTAATAAATTTTCGATCGTGAAAAGAGTACACAATGTAGAAAGAATGAATATCATGAAAATACAAAAGTATTTGACAAATATTTCGACCAATCAAATTAATTAAATTATAGTGACTATATTAGACAAATCAGTTTTATTAATATCATCTTTTATACGATCATATAATTTTTAAAATCGTCGTAGTGCCTATATTAACATAATTTATATATTCTATCAATAAAAACTAAAAGAAAAAAAATTCTAAAAATTAAATGTGAGGTCTAAATTATCTATATGAGATTAGAAAAAATAGAATGTATAGCTTTGGAAGCTGTGGCTTACAAACACTAAAAGAGAAGACGCGAAAGGAGGTGGAAAAATTAAATCGAGAAAGAGAGAGAGAAAGCGAGATAGAAAAAGGGAAGGGGGAAAGAGAGAGAGAGAGAGAGAGAGAGAGAGAGAGAGAGAGAGAGAGAGAGACGTTAGATAAAGACAGTAAAGCGTGTGTACTCTCGTAAAGGGCGCATACGTGGTCAGAGTTCGTCAGTCTCGATCGGTCTTCGAGTAAAAGAGGGTTACACGTTATTTGTGCTATTATTTTCTTGTCTCGAGAGCCCATTCAGATTTTATGATCTTAACGAGGAATAAAAAAAGAAATTAAATAAAAATAAATTGAGAATAACGATATCGAAAAGAAAAAGAAACAAGAGAAATAGAAAAAAAAAAAACAACAAGTATTAGAGCCTCAATATTTCATTGTGAGAAAAAAATAAAAAAAAATAAAAAAATAAAAAAAAATAAAGAAAGAAATGACGAAATATTTGAATATTATTTTTAAACGTTCACATTGTCAACGTAAGAAAGTTAAGAATATTAACAAAATATTTCTAATAAATTTACAAGAAATATGATCATCCAATCTTCGTTTCAATGAAGAATACATGTTTTTCATGTGATAGTGTTCGCAACGTGTAATTCTATGCGTATATATACGCACGTGTATATATATGTGTGTGTGTGTGTATGTGTGCGTGCGTGCGTGTATCTAATCATCGAACTCATTAAGAGGGGTCGTTATTCCACGATCCATTGGCAACTGCTCGCAAATAAGTAAGCGTACTTTGCGATTAATGAACTTGTTAAAGGAATCAACACAAAAGTGTATGTGTCTGTGGCTGAATATACATGTGTGTATGTGTGTAGGTATGTGTTCATTTCATTCGAGTCTTTGATAAGTATTGAAAAAGTTGAATTTTAATAAATATATTCAGATTTATTCGTGCGATAGGAATGGTTGATTTGTTATTTGATTTTGAACATTCTAAAGGATGCAAAAAAAAGGAAATTTCTTGAAAAAGAATTAAAAAAAAAAAAAAAGATTAATATGGCTAACTCTTCATCAATTAATATCAGCTTCGATGACGAAAATGGAATCGAAGCTTTTAAACATTATTCTCGCTCGGCTACTACCGCAGCTGCCATTTGTGCGATAATCTTCAGTATTGTTGGTATACTAGGTAAAAATATAAAAATGTTAATTATTTTCTTATAAATATAAGCATCACTGTACTAAATTATATATATATATATATAAAAGAAAAAAAAGAATTTCTAAGTCAAAGTAATAAATAATTCTAACAGATCTAAAAGTAAAATACGTCTATTCGAATATATAAATAAATAGAAAATATTCTATTATCCAAATAGATTCGTTGGAGAAATTAAATGACATAAATTTTGTTTCTATTGTGATATAAATATAAATTCATTTGTGATTTAAAACGATTTAATCTTTTTCTTTCTTTTTATTATTATTTTTTTTTTTTCTTTTAATATTTCAATTAAAAATTTTGTTATTCCGCTCTGAATTCTAACGTTAAATAAATTGAAATATATATTAATTTAATCGAGTTATTTGAAAAATTCTATCAAATATACTCGCAACTCGTTAACTAATTAAAATATCAAGACCCATGTACGTTTTCTCTTAATTGAAGGTAATTTGGTGACAGTAATCGCGCTACTGAAGTATACGAGACTAAGGCGACACGCTACAACGGCATTCGTTATAAGTCTAAGTGTCTCCGATTTAATTTTCTCTGCTGTGAATTTGCCATTGACAGCTAGCAGATATTTGAACGAAGCTTGGGTCCTTGGTGATACACTTTGTCAGATCTTCCCACTTTTCTTTTATGGAAACGTAGCTGTCTCGTTGCTAAGTATGGTTGCGATTACAATTAACAGGTCAGTAATCTATAAGTTAATCATAAAAAAAAAAAAAAAAAATAACGAGCTGATTGTATATCAAATCATCGATAATAATCAATGCTTGAACTATTATGATTTTTAAGTTGAAGTTTATCGTAAGAAACTTCAAACGTTTTTTGAAATTTTCAAAGACATTCCCTTTTTTTTTTTACAAAATTTTAAAAAGAAATATTACTAAGATATATAAAAACAATATATTTAATATTTTCTTTAGGTATGTACTCATATCAAGATCGGATATCTACGCTGTTATATATACAACTCGGGGTATCGTATTGATGTTGATCGCCATATGGACCCTTAGTTTCTCCCTTTTGATACCACCTTTGATAGGTATATGGGGTACTCTGGGATTAGATCCAAAGACGTTCTCTTGTACGATTTTAAAGAAGAACGATTCGAGTCCAAAAAAAGTACTCTTTGTTCTTGGCTTTATTGTACCCTGCGTTGTGATCAGCGTTTCTTATCTTTGTATTTACTGGCGCGTAAGAAAGAGCCGAAGGAACTTGGAAGCACATGCTACTGGAGGAAGACGAAAAGTTGGTGGATTTCAAAGGAGAGAAGATTCCAGAGTGACGAGACTTATGTTGATTATATTCTTGTGTTTTTTAACGTGTTTCATGCCATTAATGTTGGCAAACGTAATCGACGACAAAGTCAGAATTCCTATATTACATGTGATCGCTTCGATATTAGCTTGGGCATCCTCCGTTATAAATCCTTTTATATACGCTGGTACCAACAAATTGTATAGAGAAGCTTACAAGCAAATTTTATGTCCTGTTTCAAGTAAAATACCAACGACTGGCCCAAAACCAACGCACTCGCACTCAAGCAAAATCTCTTCCCCTCCATTGACGTGACTAATATCGTCAATTCCGACTGCACTCGTTTGGATTAATTAATTTCTAATTTTTTTGTTCTTTTTCTCTTTTTTTTTTTTTTTTTTTTTTTTTCTTTAAGTTATAATTAGAACGAACGAATTTAATTATTTAAACAATTGTAAAGATATTGGCGTTAGAAATAGATCGATATACTATAGTGTGTGATTTTGTGAACAGTTCCGTTTAAATGGCGATTATTTTTATATTTGTATTATCTTAACATAGATTTGTACCATACAGATTTATTTTGTAAATTATCAGCGCTTTCCATATATTATGAATATCGATCTTGTATATAATATTATAAAACAAAAATACATTTTTTGTTATTTTTACAATACATTTGGAATGTTCGAGTAGAGAATTCGTATATATAATATATTATGGTAAATATAATAATGGTATTATTTATCTAGCGAAATATGGACGGAAATTGTAGTTATTAAAGTTGTATAAAAAAAGAAAATATCCGTAAAAAAAAATACAAATATAATATACATTTTAAAAACACTGAATGAAATTAAATATTATCTATTTTAGAGTATATAAATGGTAACTGCATATGGTGTATAAAAAGCTTAATTTACGAACACGTTGTAAATATAAATAGTAGATATGGTGCAATAGATATCAGCACGATTTACTGTTTACCAATGTAACAATAAATCACTTATTGTACTTACACTTAACATCCGACTTATACGAATTTTTGTAATATAATTATTCTTTTTTTCGAATATTATAAATATTGTTTTTAATTCAAAATAATTTTTTTTTTTTTTTTTTTTTTTTTTTTTAGATAAAAAAGAAACAAAATGATTTCGTCAGTCTTCCAAACATACTTCTTGTCGCGCAAGTCGGCTGAGGTAGATATAATGATTTTAAGTACTAACCATTTCACATTATATCTACAAATACTATGGAATAATTCAAATGTCACTCTAAGTTATTATATATTTAATGAGATTAATTCAACTCCAATTCAGGAATGTATGGTTCTGTAAATGTAGTGATGGGACATATACTTAAAGTATTCTGAAAAAAAAAAAAAAAGAAAAAAGTATAATCATATTCAAGTAACATTTTTGTTATCAGGATAACTTGATAAGTTATAAATAATACAAATCTTTACCAATCTCACAAGCTCGTCAAAAGTTGGTCTTTCTTCTGGATCAACTTGCCAGCATGATAACATCACTTCGTATAACGGATCAGGCATATCTGGTAATTGTGGTAATCTGATACCTCGTTCAACAGCTTCCTCAACTTCGCTATCAAATTGAAGATTTGAATAAGGAGTTCCACCCATACTAAGCATTTCCCATAAAAGTATTCCAAATGCCCAGACAACGCCTGGTTGATGCTTTTTTTTACTAGTAAAACATTCTGTTGCCCTCCAACGAGCATATTTTACATCTTCTAAGACGTATTTTGCAATACCATGACCCATGACCTTAGGTATCCAATCATTGGTAATCCCTATACTTCTAGCACATAAATGATTATGAATGATCTTATAATTTTCAAGATGTTGTAATGCAGATGCAATTGAAGAACCAATAGGTAACATTTGATCAATTGGAAATATTGTTCCAGATCTAGCAGCTAATAATAAATGTTTCAATATTTGTGGAGGCATTTCTAGAACAACATATAAAGTATCTGATGTTTCACAGGTTCCAACCAAACCAGCAAGATATTTCATTGTTGATGTCTTAATGCATACATCTAATTCTCTTAGCATAGCTTGCTTATCTGACGGTTTTAATGAACGATCGGCTATAGTATGAACAACTACAGAAAATGTCTTATCATCTTTTTGTACTGTACCAGAGTGAACTGTACCAAATCGCCCTCTACGTAAAACTGCATTATCAATTGATAAATTATTTTGTGGTATACTCCAGACTTTGTTTTTCAATTCTTGATAATGATTTACCCTTTCTGGTACATCCTCTGGAATATATCCCATGTTATCTACTTCATGCAATGGCCCTTGTAATGTCAATTCTTGTTGCTCTGGAAGTTTTATTATATGGGCCTTTTCATGACGACGTCTTACTAAATAAAATATTAATATGGATAAAATAAGTAAAGATCCTAAAAGAATAATTCCTATACGTAAAATAATGACAACAACAGAATCCATTTGATGAAATTCATCTTGTTGAAATTGTTGAATACTGTTGGTAAAATTAGAATAGGAATACTGCACTTCTCCTTGTGCTCTTGATATAACCACCAATCCTATTTGTGGCATCATTGGTTCAGTTTTTAAAGGAGCATTATAATATCCCCCTATTAATCTTCCATCTCCTACTACAAATTTTTTATAATTATGAAAGTCTGATGCATCAAATTCTGCTGTTATATAATAACCTAAACCTTCTTGAAATGACTTTTCATAATTTAAATACATAACATCTGACCCAACCGGAGGTATTGTGCCAGGCTGAACTACTACAACTTGATAAGCGCTCACTGGTCCATTTTCGCTACTTCCCTCAGAAAGCATAACTGTTGTGGTAGTATTATTTTGATTTAATATTTCTGGTGTAGCTGGTTTATCAGGTGGACCTATGGAGGTCCATTCAGTAACATAAGCTGGTTTACTGATTCCTTGAGAATTACTTGCAGAAATTGATACATTATACTTAGTACCAGGTTGAAGACCTCTTAAAATAGTACTATTAGATGTGGCACCTTGTACTTGACTTTCTATCGGTGATAAATTGTTATAACTGTGCGTTTTAATAGCAACAGCAGTCAGTGTATAAGATGTAATATTTCCATTTGATATATCAGGTGGTTGCCATGTAATTAAGAAACTATCATCTTTTTGAGGAATTATTTGAATAGCTCTTGGTCTACTGGGACCTACAATTAAATAAATACTTAATAAATAAATACAAAATCAATAAATATCTACAAGGAACATACCTTTTTGTCCAGTCGAATATATACTCATAGCTTCCTGACCTCCACAAAATTTAGATGCATCAGCAGTACATGGAATATTGCAAGAGTCGGACAAGCCATTTTTACCAAACTTACTACCACAATAACATCTCTGTCCATTCTGTAATCCAGCAAACCTGCAATTATAATAATGTTAATAATAATAATATATCTTACTTTTATGCTTCTTTTTTATACAATTCCAATATATATATACATATATATATATGTACTTACATGTAATCAAGCGAATAACATTGTTTGATACATTCATTAGGGGCAGTAATACGACTTGAAATTAAGGAAGATAAATCAGGATCCACCGCAGGACTCTTAAAACAACCTTCATACTCCTGTCCACATACTAAAGTTATACTAAGTAATAATATTATAGTAGCCATATTGATTTTCTTTTTCTTTCTTATCGATTATTCTGATTACATTTTCAAATAAAACAAAGATAGATATTTAATTTTATACATTTTATATTAATTCATAAGCCACACCGCACGAGTTTATGGCATGATGTCATATCGAATATTAGTCAGGTTAAATCTCAAATCATGTTCAAATACTTTGGCAAAAACCTGGTAAGATGACGTTAACGCTCGTAAACTGTTTTCTAATCATAATCGATAATTCATATTTTCCAAATACAATATAAAAATATTTATGAATTAAGTTAATAAATTAACTGTTTAGCGTAAACAAAACAATTCACTAACATGATACATGCAAATGCATGCGTCATAGCTGAAATAACTTAAGAGCCCTCTAGTATTACTTTTAAAATGGTTCCAAATTTGAAATTGACATATATAATGAAATTTCTCATATTCATATCTTATTTATTATTTCTTTAATTATTATTATATCATGTTATTTTGAAACTTCAATTTTTAGACGAATAATGTTCATATATACCATAGAATAATTTTTACCTTTACTTTTCATCGATTATCGCTTGATGTCCCATCTTGATTTTATAAATGATTCTTTTAAAATTCCAGTGCAACCAACATTAAATATATCATATTTGAAATTGACTATATATTAGAATGCAATTATTCTTTATTACCGACAATTGAACATATTCTACATAAATATGGTTTATTTTCATAATATCATTATTTACGAAATACTAATAACTATTTTCTAACTTTATGCTAACGACCTGTTAAGACATAAAAGATCTAACGAAGAAATAATGTTATACCATAAAAACCAGCAGTCGGTCAAGTAGATTATTTCTTTATGCATTTTTGGCGCCTCATTCCATAAACTAAACTATTGCAATCATTTCGTGATATCATATATATATATATATATATATATATATATATACATGTATATAATATATATATACATATATATATATATATACATATATATACACACACGTACTACATATTATATAACTAATCGTTCACGTTCTAGGCAGCAGAGAATCGTTTTATTATATTTAGAATAAAAATTGTTATGGGTACAATTGATTGGTTCATGCGATCTCATCTGTGATATTACTTGTGATAATACATTATGGTTTATTTTGCTGTATCATCCAAGGATATACAAAAGTAGATATTAAAATGACTACTTTCTAAAAAGTGTACACTGAACATATTGCATATTAAAAGTCATATTTCTGAGAATGTATGCAAATTAACTCGATTATAATGCACTAGATGCATGGGTACTTTCACATATGTAGTTATTTGCTAAATAGCTTAATAGTATAATATGATATATTGTGTATAATGATAATACACTAGAACCCAAAAACTATGCTATGATGTATGCGAACAAGTATTTTTATGCCGTACTTAACCAAATTAATAGAACGTTAATTTAAAACATATGTAGCTATATCATTGATTTGCATCAGAAAGACTTATAAACATAAATTATCTAATATGTTGTTGTTGCTGTTATAATAAAATAAAATACAAGAAAAAAAAAAAAAAAAAGAAGAAAAAAAAGAAAAAAAAAGAAAAAGTAAATATTTTCAATGCATATGAATTCTCTGCACTGTTATGTATGCATGTGTTTGTATGTATATAGAACAAGTAAAAATATTGAAATTCAACTATTTTTCATAGTACCATTCAAATAGAACAATTACACAAACTTTGGTGATATCGGTTTAAATGTTATAAATGTATACCTTTCCATATTATGGAAATTTTTACGTGGGATATAACATAATACGCTTGGAAGTTTTATATATTACCAGTAATTTGTGTGATGGCTAGGAAGACCAAACACAATGTCAAATCTTTTACGTGATTATAAAGAAAATAATTCTTTTTTTACCTTCTTATGAAAAGAAATTTCACATATGAAACTATTCTACATTTACAAGATATATCAATAAAATCTGGCAAAGAAATATATATCGTATGCCCTATATATCAATTATCACTTATAATATACAACCAATTTTAATGAATTTTAATAAAATGAAACATTGCATAACTTATATACATTGATATTGTTTAACGTGATTTAGATAACCTGGCATTATTTTTTTCCCCAGGTAACTTTTAACAAAATATATTACACAACTTTCAATTCAGCTATATACATAGATAAGCATCATTTTCAAGCGGTATAATAATCATTAAGTCTGCTTATACGCTTATTCATCTCTTTTTCACTTTGGTATTTACATCAGTTATGCTTGGATACTGTCCAAAAAAAAATTTATAGAATTTTATATTATCTGTTCATATATGCACATATCTTTTAAAATAAAGTCATAAAAGAAGATAAGTATTGTTAACTATACTCCTTGTATAGATTTGATAATTTTAATATTAAAGAATATATAATTATATTTCTGTACAGATATGTGCTTAATGACAAATTCAGCTGTCCTTTTGATACTTTTGGACAGCAGTGTTTTCAAACCAATATGTAATTAAAAATGTAAAAAAACGCAAAGAATAGCGAGTCAAATTTTTGTTGACTCAAATTCTGACTTACGATGTTCTCTAAAAATCTTATTGTAAAAACATTGATTTGCAAAATATAGGAGGTGATAGAAATGATGACAAATCTAGGAAAGGGAATGGTTCCTTGTAAAAAAAAAAAAAAAAAAAAAAAAAAAAAAAAAAAAAAAGAAAAAAAAAGAAAAAAAAAAGAAAAAAGAAAAAAATAAAACAAATATTCAAATAATAAATTTTCTTAATATAAATCTTTATTTTGGAGAGAAATGGCTTTGTTTTAGAACATGCATGTACTTCAATTCAAACTAATAGCATATATAGATAATAATAATGCATTGACATCTACATTTCTGATATTCTTCTTAAATAATTATATAACAAAACAAAAGGATACACCTCTTAAATTTTACAATTGAATCAAGTTATGTATGTTCTAAGTTTTCAAAGTCATTTTTCCCGAAAATTAAGAGATCTTTACATTTACATCAAAAAAGTTTTATCGTATATTTTCAAGCTATTTTTTTTCACAAGGAACCAGCAATATTATCATCCAATTCCTGTTTTCACTACAGCTACTTCCAATTCTTGGAGAAGAAAATCTTCTACTGTAGTATGGTTTATAATATTTCAAAATTTGATGAAATATTATGAATAGAATAATTACAAAAAATGTAAATATCATTCGTATTATTTTCTAAACAATCTTTTATATCTACATCGTGGATGCAGAAGAAAATAATATATTTTTTAAAATCATACCTCAATTCTAGAGTGATAATTAAAAATATATTGAATAATACATTGCATTCCAAATTGTCTCCAATTTTGCAAAAATTTTTTTTATATTTGAGATTTAAATCTTTTTTAATATTTCAGATGGAATATAGAAATACGATTATTATCTAAAAATTAAGAGTTAATTACATATATTGTTTAATTATAGTTACATCTTATGATGTAATAGAGAATCATTTCAAGGTCCTTTGTTTTCATTAACCATACTAAGAGAGAATTTTCTTCTTTTAACACATAATTTTCATTCATACTAAAAATTCTCTTCTCATCCCTTCTACATTCTCGATAACAGCATTCAAACTGTTAAGTTTGTCTTATCGCTGTAACCTATGACATAACTATATTTTATATGATGCAACGCCCTCCTTTTGTACTTTCATAGTACAAAGTAATTTCTGAATAATTTTATTCCGATGGTCCTTGACCCCATCTCGACTTTGTCCTTGGAGTTTTAACTGCAGGAGATGAACTATCATCTTCGCATACTTTTCGTTTTACACTTAACACAATACCACTTTTATGAGCGTACTTCGATCGCGGCATCATTTTTGACATGCTGTCCATTGTCGGTGGTGTTGAAGGAAATGCAGGAAAATCTTCATCTTCAAGACCCGGTGGTTTTGGTTGTTCAGGTGCGAAGGTCTTCTTAAATGAGGTTTCCACATGAGCAATGGGAGGTGACAACATAGGCTGATGAAGCGTAGGAGACGCTGTCAAATTACCACATTGCGTAGACGGAACAGGAGATGTTTGCGTTATTAAATTTGTTCCAGAAGGCGTTATAGGTGATATAGGCACATTGGGTACAGTAGATACTGCCGATGCTGCTGCGACAGCGGCTAATTCCTCTTCAGCTTTTCTTATCAGATCTAAATCACTGAGTGAACTCAGTGTACTTTTGCTTTCTTTCGAAAGAGCAGTCTGTGGAACAGCATCCGTGAAAGGTGCCTTTTCGGAATTTCCTTTGCCTAAATTTGGTCCTTTGGCTTGAGAAGGTGAAGAGTATTTTTCTGAATTTTGATAAACCGTAGAATTAACGGTAGTCAAAAATGTAGCACTAGGCTTAGATGGTAGATAAGGATCCACTTTTGAGGATTCTTGTCGTTTAACGTTCGCAAGTATCTCTTGTAAATTTGGCGGTATTGTTATATCCGAAACTTTATCGAGAATTGGTTGGGCAAATTTCGAAATTCCTGGAGGTGGTGGTGTAAACGAACGTGTATCGGATGGGCTATAAGCTTCTTCGGAATCCTTTGTATTAGGAGGATCTAATCCCAAACCCTGAAAATAAAGGAAAATCGTTATATTTTATAAATATTATAAAAAATCAGAAATTTATAACGTACGTACAAAGAAAGCCATTGATATCAAGCTACATAGACTATATAAGAAAGATTAAAGTGTCTTTTGTTTAACGAAATTAAAATTAATTCTTTTATATCACGTTAAATAAATGATATGCATTTACATATACACATTATACTATTATATAATAAAAATAAGAACTAATATTTCTGTATCAATAATTTTTTGTAAGAATACACATTGATATATGATGACGATTGCATAATACATTTTATTCTGTACATTATAATTTAATGAAATTATAATTGAAAAAAAAAAAAAAAAAAAAAGAAAAAGAAAAAAAAAAGAAAAAAAAATCTACGCAGCTTGAGGATAGGAATAGGATGCCATGAATAGATGCAAACAGTTTATTTACAATGGGGTAATAGGAGAAACAGTAACAATTGCATTTAAAAAAAAATATAATTATCAGTGCTCTCACCGGCAGAGTAGGTGTCGTGTCATTGAGAAACGAAGAGCTAATGTTTTGTATTTGTTGTTTTTGTTCTTCTATTTGTCTATTTAATTCATCCATCTTTCTCTGTAATTCTGTAGAATTTTTTGCCGATGATAATACATCTGTAGTATCGTGTATAACCGTTTGTGTATTCGTAACATCTTCATCCATTTCACCTGGACTGTAAGGTTCATCGCCATCGTCATCTAGCGTTTTAAGTGGTGACGGCATTAAATCAATCTTCGAAGATAATTCCGGTACAATTTTACATATTGCAGCACTATCTATTACTGATTTTGACATCCCGATATGTGCCTTATTTAAAGTTTCTAAAGTCATTTGCGTTACTGCTTGTTTATCTTTAATGGTATCGGTTGCACTTGCTTTATATCCCATAGGAGAGGCTGGTGGTGTAGTAGAAGAAGTTTTATCTTTCGAAGTACCCACTAATGGTGGCGTATAACTACGATCGGGATCTTTTTTCTGTATTTTTGCTGCAACTACCGGAGGTATAGTGGTCAAACGTTTCTTTCTATTGCGTACTATAATACCAAGAAGCAAATGCGGTCTATTTTCTTCAAAACCAGGACCGGTGAGAGGTAATAAAACTCGCGGTATTGTGCTTTGGTTTGAAAAGGGCATTATATAAAAATCTTTTATATTTTTGGAAACATTACCAACGACGCCTAATCGACTTCTACTATTTAAATAACTGTATAAAGTTATATAAGGAATCTTTTCCTCGTCGTTCGCTGCCGTTAACCTTATAACAAGAATTTCTTTAGATCCTGTCTTCTTCATCTTCGAAATGTAATCCCATACAGTTTCATGACTTATTCTACCAACAACATCTACTGTATCTGGAAGATCGTTCATTAGATCCCTGGCATGACCACTCACTTCTTGAGCCGTGATAAAAAACTTAGCAACATCCACCATGTTAACAAATCCTCGCCAGACTGTTTGCCATGATGTTTTCGAAATATCCTTTTCTATCTCCGGATCGGTATATCTTTCGGGTTCTTCATTAATGTCCGGTGTTTTGATCGTAACTGTAGAACTTGGTTCTCTATCAGATACATCAGAATCATTACCATCTATGGTATTTGTAGTAGCTTCGTCTTCTATATGCCTCCACAAACGATCCTCTATCGGTTTATCGGCTATGGGTGGTGTAGGCTCTTTCTTCTTTTCTATTTCTTTTTTACGTCCTTGTTCTTTTTTATCTCCATTCTTTCCTTCCTTCAACGATTCATTACGATTCCGCATTTTCGTCCAACCACCTTTATGCTTTTCTTTCTCATTTTGATACTTTTCCTTTTCCCTCTCTCTATCCTTAATCTTTTCTCTATCTTTATTTCTTTGTTTATCCTTGTCCTTCTCGCGTTCCTTATCTTTCTCTCGTCTACTCTCCTTACTTTTAGCCTTTCTATCCCTACTTCGTTCTCTCGCCTTACTATAATCCCTATCTCGTTTGTGACGATGTCTGCTTCTACTCGTACTCCTTTCTCGTCCTTCCTTATCCCTTAATCTTCCACCATCTCTGGTACCTTCCCGTTCTTTATCCTTTTTCCTACCCTCCTCGCCATTCTTCGATCTTTTCATTTCGGACGTCAATTTTATTCTCTCTCCGTCTTCTCTTTCCTTACTCGTATCGATAGAACTAATACTGTCACCACTGTTCAAAGCGGTCACTATATCTTGCACCGGTGTTTTCGGATCCACTAAACCAATACCACCGTCATTTTCTATAATCTGTTCGCCTTTATGTGTTTTTACCACTATAGACTTTGCTTGTGCCATTAAATCTAATTCATTTTTCTTAATCATCTCTAATTGATGTTTAGTCTCTTTTTCTCGCCACTCGGCTAATTCTTGACTAGCCATTTCGTCTGGGCTTAATCTTACAACCGCGTCCGGAGCTAATGATTTATCAGCAATTTTTCTAAATAATGTTAAATTCTTTGTATCTTTTATATTGAATACAAGACTCCTGTATTTAGCTTTATACTTTGCCCCTGTATCTTTGAAATATTTGTACATTTCTATTTCTATATTAAAAGCTAAATCAGCGATTTCATCGTCGGATAGCTTTAAATCTTCCGTTTCTTTTATACGACTTGACAAAAGCTCTGTCAATGTTTTTCGAATGTTCAATCGTATTGGTTCAGTTTCAGGCTTCTTAACAATTGGTACTTTAACCTGTTGTTTCGGTTGGGGCGTTAGCACCTTTACTTCTTGTTTCTTATTCTGTGCTTGTTTCTGTGTAGTCGTTCCTTGTGCTTTTGCTTGAGGCGATGATGCGGGTCTTATAGTCGTTTGTTTTAAAATCAAATTGCCCTTACTCGTAGTATCAAGAAAAGTTTGTTTAAGTTGATGCGGTTTATTGTGCAATGTACTTGTTTGTGGTTGTTGTGCACCAGCAATCGTCGTAATTTTTTTACTACTAGCTATTAAAATCGTTTGTTTAGAACCTGGTATATTGGTATAAACCATTTTTGGTATTGCTTGTGCTTTAGCAGCTAATAATTGCGGAGATTTTCCAGGTTTGTTTAATCGTTGTGCAGGTAAAACCGTAACCGTTTTCCCTCCTATTTCTACTTGGCTAAGACTATCCGCTCGTACAGCCTCGAAGGTTGGATTTTCTTTCAACCATGTCTTTAAATTCGATCTTTTAGGTGCTTCCGTACCTGTAAGGAGTCTTCCAGTTCTTCTTTCAAAAACAATTACTCTGGCATCCGCCTTTGCTTTGGCTATTCCCAAAGGCGATTGTTTTAATGTCTTTGAATTGGAACTCGTTGCCACAGGTTTGTCCTTAGTTAATGTTTCTTGGGCATGTGCAAGGATACATGCATCCGAACAATAAATACTAGAATTCCTAGCTTCTTTTTTGCATACTACGCATTGAGTGGTACCTGAAATTCGTACAATATTATGATCGTGAGACGATGCAGAAGATAACGGTGCATCTTTTGTTGGGGAAAGAGAATGCTGGGATGTTTCTTCCTCCATCAAGGATGAAGAATCCTCCATAAACGAATTTTGCCGTTGTCTCTCTCTTCCTGACATTAACTGCGTATTTATTTTCACTTTATTGTCATCTGCCTTTTTCTTTAAACAATTAGGACAAACCCATTCTATACCTTTCTCTTCCATTTGTTGTCCCATTGCTTTACTGACGTGTACGCATTTTCCATGGAACCAATCTTCGCAAACATCGCAACATATCATAAAACGATTATTATGGGGTCGCTTACAAATACACCACAATCTATCAGGGTCGTCTTCTGAATCTGAATTTTCCTCTTCTTCGTCATCCTCATCATCATCGTCTTCATTTTGCTCACTTATATTTAATCTTAGATCTTCTTTACGTTCTAAATGACTTTGAACAGTTGGTGATTCATATTTCTCAGGTTTCTTGATAGGTTCTGGAGTCCTTTGCACAACAATTTCTGATTTTGCTTGTAATCGTTTGCTCCTTGTTGCTGGAGCCTCTATTGGTGGTAAAGTTATTACACGTCCGCCACGAACTATTTGTATAGGTTCTTTATCATCTCTAATATTTTTTTTCGTTACTTCAGGTATAATATTTGTTGATATTTGTGCCCCTGTATCTAGTGATTTAGTTGTTAACTCCTGATTAATTGTTGTTTCCCGTGAAGAAACATGTGTAGGAGTTGATGTTAATGACGTAGATGGTACAGATTGATCTACCAAAGGAGCCTAAAAAAGAAAACCATTAAATGAATATCACCTTATTAATATTAAAACTCTGTGAAGATAATAAATATATATATATAAAAAAAAAAAAAAAACCAGCATACATGATCTCCTAAATCAACTCCAAGTTCTTCTTGTAATAATAATGCTTCTGCTAGTAACTCCTCATCATGTTTATTGGCTTCCATTTCTAATGTAGCTAAAAGATGTTCTTCCCCTTCTATGCCACCTTTAATAATTAAATATATTATAAATAATTTTGTAACATAGACATGATGCATATTATATACATTGTATACATTATTGTAAACTTCTTATAAAACAATTTATCAAAACTCTTGACAATATTAAAAATTATGTTTCCTGTCGAATATCATAAATGTTATTTTACATTTGTTTGTGTAACTTTATGAAAAGAATTTCATTGATGGCATGATAACGAAACTTACTATGTTTAGTGATAATATGATTTGGCACAGTAGGTAGTGCCATGGCTTGATCAATCATTTGTGATGAGGTAGTAACTAAGAAAATATAATATTTTTAAATAAATATAAATATTATTCGAGAGACGAAACTAAAAATGTACAAAACAAAATGAGGAAAAGGAGATTGTATTTCCTAACTGAAGAATAAGAATTTTCTTGGTGTTACACGTACTTAAGGATGGTTGTAATTCCTCATCTGGATCTGCCTTTGAATCTGTTTTTTGAGTTTCGTTTTCTCCTTTCAATACATTTTCCGTCACATTTTCAATACTTGAATGATGTTCGACTTGAGATACGTCTTCTTCTAACGTATTTGTTATCAAAGTTTTCGTTGTATATTCTGAATCTGAACTTTGTGTTATGTTTGAAGTCGTAGTGGTAACATTTGTTGAACTTATTATTTGTGTCCCTTGAGCAGATGATTTAGCAATTCCACAGGCAATAGTTGAACTTGGCATAGTGGCAATTAAAGAAGATACCGTATTGTCGGCATTTTTTGGATCATTGTTTGAACCGACACGACGAATAATGTCAGGTGCAGAAAATAATGCCGGACCTAAAGTATCTGCCACAAATCCTGGAGATTTCTTATGTTCTTTACGCGAATGTTTCTTCATGTCTAAAAGATGCATGAAATTTATTTTAATTATTAATATACATATATAATATACCAGATATATTTAAATATCTGAAAATGAAATAATATATAAATATAATAAACTACCAAATATGATACTAACTGTCTACGTTTTTAATTTCTACAATTTTTGCATTATCACTTTCTGTTTTAGCAATAATATCTATCATTTTTTCAGATTTTCTTCTTTCTCTTTTTATTTCAGAAGGCTTCACTTTTACTGCCATGACAGATGTAATAGGTTTGCCTTGTTGTTGTAATCCTTGATATTGTTGTATTGGAGATGTTTGTAATAATGTTGCCTTTTCTTGGGCAGGTGGTGTACTCGACACAACTGGCTTTGGTGCGATCGGTACATGCATTAATTTTCCATCTTTCGTTGATATAAATTTCGTCTGTACTTGATTCAAAAATTTGCCTTTTGGAAGAATCATTGGTTTTTTTACATCTATGTTCTTGAGCTCATTCGTTTTCATCACAACTTGTTTTTGTACAAGAGTTAATTTTTGATTATTTCTTCCTTGACCTGGCTTTGTTAAAATCATATCACCTTTGATCATATTGCTATTAATTAGATTTGCTTTCACTTGATTTGTTGTTTGTAGGGGTTTCTCTATATTGATTGCAGTTTCACTTGTAGTGAGTGACGCCTGTGTATGTTGCGTTTCATCTCTTTTTCTAACACCAAATGTTTTGAATTGTCTTCTACCTCTGACAGAACCGTGTGCTCCTGATAAAATTAAATATTTAGTAATCTTTTTTAATAAATTGAAACTATCAATAATTATTAAATAGTATCAATGCTTTTTTAATCACTAAATTCATTATTATTTATTGTATATAGATTTAAAAAAATTATCATGCTTACCCATTTTATCCTCCTTATCAGGAGTTTTCATTGCACTAACAGCAGCAGCCATTTCCATATCTAAACGACGCACTTGTTCTATATCCATATGTTTATTTGAGTTTCTTCTTCGTCCACCTGTCATGTAGCCACCCCTAGTGGTAAGACCTTTTCGTCCACCTCTGGCTCTGACTCCTCCTCTCCTTGGACCTCGAGGACCAAAATCAGAATCATTGTCTGATGGAGGTTCTGATTCAGAAGACTCTGAAGGTGAGGCACTACCTTCTTCCTCTTCTTCTTCGTCATGAGATAATCGATGTGCTATATAAGAAACATTTTATTATACTAGGTAAAATTATGATAGTGTATAATAGGTAAAATATTATATAAGGATATCAGTAATAAAAATTTATTTATTAGGAACATGATTAAATCAGTATGACAATATAATCTCCAATATGAGAATTTATTAACAGTAATAAATAGCATGCTTAGATTTTTACAGACTCTTTTTTGTAGATTAATTTCACCTTTAGACATCGAGTGTCCTGCTGATTTAGATACCCCAGGTGAATTCCCAGCTGATCGAAGAGTAGAAGTGGTAGGAGTAAGTGGATTTTTGCGAGGACGACCAACTGGCTTCCCCTAAAATAATATATCGTAAAAAGAAAAATAACTACATTTCAAGAAATTGTCACTTACAGTTTTAGTAGTTGATTTCACTTTTTCTATTTCATTGGGTGGTGATGACATTGTTGACACTGTTGACGGAGAAGAAGGATGTGTATATTGTATATCACTGGAAGATGGATAATTTGTCAATGAATCTTTTGGTTTAGAATCAGGTAACTTATTCGTATAGCAATGATCCAGTTCTACACTATATTTTATTGACTTTTGCTGTTCCTCTATGGACAACATATCTAAAAAATGCAATAATTAAATAATTTGTTAATAAAATAATCATATTGTTAATATATATCCCATTAAATTATAGCATCAACAAACCAAGCATTGCAGTAACATTTTCGCCCAAGATTTGTTTCGCTTCCTCACTTTGAAGAGCAGTTTCCAATCTTTCCAATTGTTCAGGATCCATTTCCATAAAAGGATCAACCAGTCCAGTTGCATCTGTACTTGTTGCATTACCTATTGGCGTAATGCTTGAAGATGTAAAAGTTGGTGGATCTACTGTCAATGTTATATCGCCATTGTTAGCACCTGGTTCACTTTGTCCCAATCTTACTACACTAACATTCGCATTTGATTGGTTCACTGAAAATATATATAGAAATATTTATCAATAAATATATAATGTGTCTTTAATGTGATAATTGATATTTGATTTTCAAGGAACTTTATATTACCAAATTGTATAAGAAGAATATATAGTTCAATCTATGTATTAATACAAATGTAAAGTGTCAATGAAAATCTAAACAAAGTTAATAAAAATTAATTATTTAGTTAGTATATATTAATATTAACATATTTGGTGAATATTATAAAAAGAAATAAGAGCCATTAATGAATAATAAACAGGCTAAAACAAAGTAATGTTTAAACTGTTTACATATTTGAACAATTACTTACTTATTAAATTTTGTAGTGTTTCTTGATCTACTGATATTGTGCCATCATCATTAACTACAATAATCAATGTGTCATCCTGTTTCTGAGTTTCTTTTTCTTGCGGCTCGACGATATAAGAGCTAGACATGTTTTCAGTTCTGAAGAACGAAATAAGAATTATCAAGAATATTATACAATTAATTAAATGTGAACTTAAATATCCGCCCGTTTATCGTTACGACAATAAGGTTATGTTTAACATCTATAGAGGTAGAATTGATTAGAAATGATAATATCTACATTGGTACGACAGGCACGACTTCCACAAGTATATATTATTTCACTTCTATTATAGTTTCATCTTAATACGTAAAATGAAAGTAAATAGTGCGATAGTAAAGAAGTACATACATAAAATCATAAAATGATAAAATGAATCCTGGAATCTGTCGTTCTCTCAAAATCTACGATAGTTTTCACGCAACATATAAGCTTATCGCGATAACCCAATTATAATCCACCGTTCGTTTTTTCCCAAACCAAATAAATAATACCGCCAACGACAAACGGGCAGCCATTTTGTTTAATCCATCATACACAGCGCCGTACGAAAGTGTCGGTTGCGCGTTACAGCTCACTTACCATCCGCGTATTCCCATTCACGGAATTAATTGAAACTTTAGTCTTTCTTCGAAGAGTTGCTTCCCGACGAATTTGTCACGAGAGCACTCCACTTCGTCGATAAACCGCGCTTTTTTTAGCGAGACATTCTGCCCGACGATCTACCTCAACTATGCGCATACAGACGCTGCGCGCTTCGCGTTGCGCAACGAGACGAACGAAACGAACAAGCTTTGCGCGGGTAGAGACGCAAGATGCATGAATACGAAGATAGGCCGTTCCTTTCCTTTGTCAGAAAGAGAAGAAGATATACGTGAACTTACGTTCTGCCCTCTATACGTATGCGCCACCTATCATCGTATCTTTTATAATATGCCAAACAATATTTTCTGTACACAAAATTTTATATCCCGTATCGTTATAATTAGATAATATCGATTTAATTGTCTTTCAAATATTACTGTAATATAGAAGTGAAATACTATTCTATATACACAGACATGACTTTTTTTTCTCAATTAACGTCCCATCGCTATAAATTAGATAGATATAAATTAAGGTCAATGGGATATATTGCCACAGTAAATACATCACCATACGTATCAAATTTATGAAACTTTTATTCGTTTAAATAATATCATACCATTCCGATCGAAATTCCTTTCGTTCGGTAAACTTTTCTCCCGATATTGTGAGGCTGTGTCATACCAAGTGCGTTTTTCTTTTGGTATTAACAAAAAATCAAGAATATTATTAGCTAATCTTGGAATAATAGGAGACAATACCAAAGTGGATATTCTTACGCTCTCTAATGCGACAGAAATAACAGCCTTGAGCTCCATAAGAGAATCTTGGTTATCTAATTTTTTGCTTAGTAACCATGGCTTATGATATTCTATCATTTGATTTACCATACGTAATGCAGCCATAGTTACATCTACTACATTATGTAGATTATACTCTTCATAATGGGATCGTGTATTATCACCCAAGCATTCTGTGATCTTTATGGTTTGTATAGCTATATCTGATTTTAAAACATAAGCAAACTCCATTGGATTAGGAACTTCTCCCCATGGATTAATAATTTTTCCTGTACACCGGCTAATCAAATTACCTAATGTATCAGCAAGTTCAGCATTTATTGTTCTTAGGATTTTATTGTCACTATAATCTATTAAAATAGAAAAGTTTATTTTTTTTTCTTTTATTTTTTATTATAGATTAGAATGACATATTGATTCAAATTATAAACTTACTTGCATCGCTATAAGGCACAGCTTCTCTTAAGATGAAATATCTTAAACCCTCTTCTGTAAAATTATTAGCTGCTTCAAAAGGTGAAATAACATTACCCTTTGATTTAGACATTTTTCTATCATCAACCGTCCAATGTCCATGACACAGTAATGTTTGAGGAGGTTCAAGTCCTGCAGCTATTAAAAATGCTGGCCAGTATATGCCATGAAATTTTAATATATCTTTACCAATAATCTAAATTTCATATTAATAAAATTAATATTAAAAATATATATATATATATTTTTTTTTTCTTATTAAGTTTTACAAGATACATCATATGTAGCATACCTGCAAACTTGGTGGCCAAAATTGCTTGTATGTATCATTTGGATAACCCAATACAGTTAAATAATTTATTAATGCTTCTAACCAAACATATACGGACTGATTTTTGTTTTGAGGTGTTGGAATACTCCAAGGAACCCTACTTGTAGGTCTTGATATACTTAAGTCGTGCAAATCTATATCTTCTTCTATCCACTTACTTAAAATCTTATGATATTTTGCAGGTTGTACAGTAGTTTCTATATAATAAAAGAATACTTTTCAATATGAAATTATAATTTTCATAATTTCTTGTATGTAATTTCATACTCCTTTTTATCCAATATTTCAATTCATCTTGTAGAGTACTTAATCTGAATTTGTAATTGTTTTCTTCTGTCCACTCTACAGGGTGACCAGATTCTTTAGAGACTTTAATTGTTTTACCAGATGCATCTGTTATTTCATCTAATTCTATATCTGTAAGAAATGCTTCGTCCGATGTACAATACCATCCCGAATATTTTCCTAAATAAATATATCCTCTTGTATCCAAAACATTCTAAAAATGTATGTATGTATGTTTGTAACGAGATTAACATTACTTATATAATAATTAGTCTTTCTTTATGAGATTTATATCAAAGAAATATAACAACCCAAAAATGATGCACTGCCTCGAGATGACGTTGTTCTGTGGTACGAATAAATGCAGAATAATTCACAGAAAATTTATCGCACATTTCCTTGAATTGTTTTGAAATTTTTGTACAATAATCTGATGTTGGAATCTTAGCTAAATTTGCAGCAGTTTCTACTTTATTACCATGCTCATCTGTACCAGTGCTTAAAAATGTGGAATGACCAAGCATGGATCTGTATCTTGTTATACAATCTGCTAAAGTTGCACTATACAAATGTCCAATATGTGGAGCTGACATAAATATAAAAGATGTAAATAAAGACATTATACAAAGTTATTGGACAACATAATATTTTATGTACCTGCATTAACATAAAATATTGGCGTACTGATATAAACATTTTTAAGTATATCACTTGTGTAATGCCTTTGTAAAATTCTGTTTCGTGACACTTGTAATTCTATTGGTAAAAATCGAGCTATTCCTAATGACTTCATGATTTCATAATTTTTTTGCGATAAAGATATTTTTAATCAATATAAAAATGAAAATATCTCACGATGAATAACCTCTGAGAGAACTAGACACAATTTCCTCTCTCAACATGATCATACATGTGCGCACGCAGATTTAAGGTACCGAATGAAGAATTTTAACGAAGATGATAAAAAGAGAAGACAAAAAGAAAAAAAAGAAAAATGGAAAGATTCAAGAACTATCTTAAAATGATCTGTTTTCGTATCAATTAAAATAGAATCGGAAGTATGCCAGATGACGTTCGAAAATAATTCTTCATTCTGATATCACAATAATCGCATAAAAATTATTTATAAATTACAAAAATTACGATAAAAAGTTAAAAAATAATGAATTATTCCGAATACGAAATCATTTTGATCAACGATTAAGGAGAAATGCAATTTGGCTCTTATTAATTTTCCTTTCTTGTTGAAAGTAGGGAAATTAAAGAGAGTATGGGAAAGCTTGAAAAAACATCAATGTTTTGTAGACGTATGTATATTGGTTGATGGTACCGTTGCTGTGACTGGTGCTGCCAGGCAACAATCATTCGTAAGAAACATGCGCGAGTTTCAAGTCCTATGGCAAAGTAGGAAAATTGCTGCGTGTTAGAGCCGGACACGGGTTCTCCTACCTTATGCCAGTAGCACCCCTTCATTCGAAGGGGTGGTAGACGTTAATTTCTTCTGACGGTTGATTGTACTAGTGCGCGTTCGAACGATCGTCATTAAAAGGCCGCGCGAATAAGTGGATTATTTTCCACCGTTGAAAAATCATCTACACTATTTAATATCATGGTGAGTAAAATGCTATGTCGAAATTTATTTTCGAATTTTTTACACATATATCGGACTCGACTACTCGTACAGAAAATTTCTTTGAAAATTTTCATATTAAGCATGCACGCCTACGCCAATGCATTTGAACTATTATTTTTCTTTTTTTCGTAATTATTTAACTTTCATTTCGTATGTCTGTTATTGTTGACTTTCAAAACAAAAAAGAAAAAAAAAAAGAAAAAGAAAAATAATTTCTTGTTTATTTTGTTTAAACCTTTTTCATTTACATTCCTTTTCGATTACGTACGTTCTCAATTGAGCTCTCAATTGTTTCAACCCCTTTTTCCTCCAAATTTTTCATCCCTACTCTAAGTATCTTTAGTACTCGAAGCATATATTTGTCGGTGAATTTATGTACATTGATATATTTAAAACGTGGATTAAGAATAATCGAGAAGATACAACGCTTTGTATCACGAGAATGTCGTTGTATCGTGGTGACGTGAAAAAACATGGAAGAGATGTATCGATAAAACTTTTGCAAAATTATTGTTTCTGTCCATTATATTTAGTGAAATAAAAAAAAGAAAGAAAGAAAAAATGAAAAATAAAATTAAAAAAAAGGAAAGAAAGTCAATTTTTAGGAAAATCATTTATGTTTCATATATATGTAACTACATTTTATACATTTTTTCGAGTTTGAAAAAAAAAAAGAAGTACGAACTTAACCTCGACTTTTTTTCGTCTGAAAAATCATAACTTATATTCGAGCTACGTATGTATTTGAGTATCGAGTGAAAAAAATGATTTGATACTTGGAATACGATGAAATGATGTATTCTTCTCAATGAATAATTCGAGAAAAGAATTTCTTATAGAAATAGAACACAACCATCGTTTTCGATGGTAATTTTCTAAATGCAGTTCGATCAAGAAAGTGGCGCTATCTCTGCATAGATCGGGTCACTATGTATATGGGGCTAGCACTCATACCGGAAGGTCAATAAGCAAAGTGATAACCTATTTGACGCAGCTTAATAATGACGTTTAAGCTCTCTTTTGCGCGGCAGTTGCTAATAAGCTTTCAACCTGGATTATCACTTAGATTGGTTCTACCAACGATCGTCTTTCGAGCCTAGAACTATTATTATCTTTTTTATATCGAACAATTCTAAAAATAGAGATATCTATATTGCATATACATAGGTATATGTGTATGTATGATTTTATTGCATAGATTTCCAATTTATCAATTTCATGTATGAAGAAAAAAAGAAAAAAAAAATTTTTTTCCAAGTAATTCTTACATATTGTTTAGCAATTACAATTTAAATATAAAATTCAATAATAAATGTTTTTGTCTTTTGTTTTTATTTTTTTTTCGTTCAATTTAAATTGAAATAATTCAGATTAATGTAACCTTACCAATATTTTCTTTTTATAAATATTCGAATATTAGAAAAATCCGTTCGATTATCGAGTAGTCAAACGTTCGCGTATTATCGAATATATCAAATTGAATAATAAATCATTGTCGAACATTCTAATGTAATTTCGATATCAGTCTTATATCTCAAATGTATTTTCATTAAGGTAACATGACGCAAGATTTGCGAGTCGTGTAAAATCTTTTATTTTTTTTTTATTTTCATTAATTAGATCAAAAGTTATTATATAAAATATTTCTCTTAAAAAAAATATTCGGACATGGTAGATAAATGTTTGAGATTTAAAAAAAGAAAAATAAAAAAAAAATGAAAATAAATAGAGAAAAAAAATATTTTAAATCTTAAGGTACATAAAGATATCGTAGTGTGTTATTAAATATCGTAGATAAGTTAGTGAATTTTTGCGTTGTAATAGATTTGTCATAGTAACAATGTCGACCATGGCACGTTTGCTTTTCACAGTCGAGAAGATAACTTAATAATCGCTATGATCATGAGTAGTGAAGATACCTCCTGTTTGATATTATTTTCAACCATTTGGAATATTACGTTCGTTATTAAATTTCTTTATCTTTCCTTTAAGAAAGAAAAAATTAAAAAGAAAATAATTGGACTGTACAAATCTCTTATATATTTCCAATGAATCGATCATTATTGAGTTTTTTCATTTCCTTCTTTTGAGTAGGAGTCACTGTTTCCATCATCTCAACAAGTGAAGATCTTGCTTGAGGAAGCGAAGTTTATTGGAAGGAGAAGAACATGTTTTCGATTCCGCAATCGTAATTTCCGGAACATTTCGCAATTGTGCTTGGACGATCAAGTTTTAGCTTACTAGGTGAGTATACTATATCAACGTGTATAAATTCTTCATATATCAACATTTTTTATGATCATTCTCATTTAATTCGCCTCTTTCCAACCATGAAATTTTATATTATGCTTCGCCAGCTTCTCATTTATTCGCGTATTATCGCATTACGTTTCGTTTACTCGGTTATTTTAATTCGCATCATTTTACGAATATTCGAAATATTTTTAATTATTTGTATTTGTATTTCAAAAATTGTATTTTCAAAAATTATATATATGAATATCTTAAAGCGAACGAGATCAAAATAATATTCTTTTCGTTTCTTTCAAATCGTTATTGAGAAAACGTTTGATAATTCTCGATAAATGCGTGAAATGCATCTGTCGTCAAGTTCGCAGCAAGTTGCATTACTTATTGCAATATCGAAAGATCCGTTAATTAAGCTTCCCAGATTCTACTATATGTTACACATATGTCTTGGTAGTCTGGATCAATATGCCAGTATATACACCAGAGAGGTGTAGCGAGAGAATGAAGGAGAGGAACGGAAAAGAGAGCGAGCGAGAGACATCACATGGTATCTGCTGACTGTGGTTATCGACCACCACGCCACACGAAAAGCACTGTTGTCGGGCCCCTTCTCCCTTTTCTTTCCCCTATAAACAAAAAAAAAAGTCATCAAATTCAAAGAGATTTCCGATTACTGTAAGTCCTATCAAAACAGATACATACATCAAATAGCAAAACTTTTTCAACCAACTCTTTCAGATGAAACGAAACGAAACGAAATGAAACGAAACGAAACAAAACGTTTTTTCTTTTTTCTTTATATTTAACTTTATTTTTCATTTATTTTTCAAAAGCTCATACAATTATTATTTCATTTATCATCGTATAAATCATAAATTATATGTTTGCATCTGGTAAGAGATCTATTATGTAAAGAGAATCATCATTAATTCGTTTATAAATCGATCGTACTCGTTTCGTACGATTTATCCTTCCTCTAATATTTATTAAAACGAACACGCAACTTTAACAACGTGAGAGCTACTAACATATATATATATTGGTTATCGAAGAGAAAGAAACATAGAAATCAATAGAGTCAAATAAAAGCGCGGAAGTAGCACGTGACTAGGTCACGTGAATTATCGAATTATCCGTTTCCTTACGACTTGGTTATAAGGTAGTCGTTTCTCTTGAATATACTTCTTGTAGCAAAGGGGAACGCGTTAGAAACGATAGATATAGGTACATAACTCATCTATATCTCTCTTTCTTTCTCTTTCTCAATGTTCTCTTTTAGTCATTTAAACGCTGAACCGTCACGTTTAGTAGTTATATGATACGATACTTTCTTGATGCGAGTGCAGAAAGTAGAGGAAAACAAGCTTGTAAGTTTTGATTGTTCGATGATTATCTTCTAATTTATCATATAAAATCATGATTAATTTTAATAATATAAATTATTTTCTTTTTTTCTATTCGTTTATTTTCTTTTAACATTGGAACATTTCATTTTCCTTTTTTCCTTGATAATATTTCAAGAAACGCGATAATTTTTTTTTTTTATATTGTTAAATTTTTTCATTGGTATTCTGTAGTATTTGCAGGATGATGACATTTTATCTATAATCATTGAATAAATGGAAAGTTTTATAGATAATTATACAAGTATAATATATAGAAATAGTTCCGTAAATATATTTTTTTCTAAATACATAGGTACTACGTTGTCACATTAAAGTTATGCGGATTATTTAATATATTAATTCACAAATTGAATTCTTCTATATTTTTATTGTATTTCATAAACATATTTACTTAAATTTAGATTTGACATAAGAACACCTCTCAATCGACTTTCTTTATTATTCATTGACCTACTTATCGTTTCTCGTGTGTATGCAATTCAAAATGTCTCCCTGTATATGAAATGATAAATAAATTAATAAGTTCGATGATCGATATCAAGCAATAAATGAAATTAGAAAGGAATTATCTATATTCATACATACGTATATACATATGTAGATATATTAATATATCATATATATATATCTATATATCATATACATATGTACATACATAAGAACGAATCATAAGGACAAATTCGCATTTTTCAAGAATTATTTAGTATCCTGATAGAAGAACGAAGGCTGTCTCGTAAAAGAAGATTTTACGGTGCTCAAGATATACATATATATATATATATATACGTATATACAAACATGGATAGAGATACATCGTACGAGGCGCGTAAAATTCAAGCAAATGCTGGCACTATATGCGCGAGATAGACCGACCGCGCGCTGCGCCATTCCGATCTAACCCGAATGAATTTCCGAGGTCGAGTTAGTGGATAGTAGGCGAGTTACTGCGGCCGCAGACGATTCCCAAGTTCGTCAGTCGCGGCTCGGCGACGAGCGTGCACGCGTTTCGTTCGCGTTGTTCGCTCGTTCGGTTACGAAGAAAATTATTAATTTTTCTTTTTTTCTTCTTTTTCTTTTATATATATATATATATATATATATATATATATATATTTTTTTTTTTCCCCCATTTCTTCTTCTTCTTCTTCTTTTTCGATCATTGGATAAAACTTTAATTTATAGACGTTAAATTTTTCGTTTATGGGAAAGTAATAGAGAAAACGACGTGCACATACGAACGCGCGCGCGCGCGCGCGCATACAAAAACCGATAGTGAGATGAATCATGCCAAAGAGAATAACCAATGAGAGGAGAAGACGTACGAATTCGGCCGACATGCTGTTAGTACGCTCTCAGGAGTAAGCGCAAAATGTTATAGCTAAAAATAATTTTAGAACCGACGATTAGGAGAAAAAAGATGGAGAAAGAGGAGGAGGAGGCGACTGTTTTTTTTTATTTTTATTTTTCTTCTTTCTCGCCTTTGTATCTTTATTTTCTATTTTTCCACGATTGAGATCAAAAAATCGTAGAAGAGTATAAGTTCTGTGATAATAATAGCGACATTTTTATTTCTCTCTTCTCCTCTTTTTTTCTTTCTTTTCTTTCTCTGCTTTTCTTTTTTTCTTCTTCTTTTTTTCCTTTTCTTTTTTTTTTTTTTTAATTTTATTTCACGGAGTAGGCTCGATCACGCGTAACGACTTCTCATATTAAACCTCAACGCACGTTTCGCGTGCTTCAATCTAAAACGCGCATTCATATATACGCAAATATATATATTTATATATATATATGTGTGTGTGTGTGTGTGTATGTGTGTACTCCCGTTGCCGCAAGATGTAATTAAATCGGACTTTCAAACTTTCAGTCACGCGATTTCCTCCTATCATCCCGTTGTGGGTGGATTTGGTGCGTTCACGCGAGACTGATATCTAAGTGATATATTACTTATTTATCATTCTCACAATATTTCGGAAAATATTTTGAAAGTATTGAAAACGAGAATTGTAACAGTATCAGATACTTGATCGCAAGAAAAAAAAAAAAAAAAAAAAAACTGCTTTTATTGTTCCCCTTTTTATTTTATTTCCTTGTTCTTTATTTTTTCCTTGAGATAAGATGTTTTCGTTTATTTTTACGTCACACTAATTATGCGTAATATATATGTATTATTAATACTTGTTTTCAATTATTGCTTACGTAACTGTACGAGAAAATTTCAAGTCGAAGATAACAATACATACATATCTATGTACATATGTATATATTTACCTATCGTATCAAATATATGAGTGATACACATATACATATGTAGATAATGTACACCTATATAATTTTGTTAGTTTGTTCTCGTTTATTCTACCGCAAAAAAAACGTCAACTTCATTTGCGTTCATGCATGCGGTTAAGCCGCGATACGAGGGCGGGATACTTTCTGTTGAATTTGCTGTAGCACGTGTTCAATGGTTATGGTTCGCTTACGTTTTATAGTTAAAGTATACCTCACTCGTTGTATATTTACCATTTCGTATATCTCGACGCTTTTCTCCCTCTCTCTTTTTCTTTCGATATACGCTATAGTAATTTTTTAATCCTTTCGAGAACAATGTAAATTTGGATTTAGATTAATCATTAGATAAACACTTGATCAAATAATTATCTACTTTTTACGATAATAATTTTTCTTAATCTTTCATTTTTTAGAATATCAATTTAATTTAATTCTATTTATTTTAATTCATCTTATAATTTAATTTAATTCATTTAAATCATTTGATTTTTTCTTTTTTGTTAAAATAATAAGAGTTTCTAATTAATTTTTTTTTTTTTTTTTTTTTTAAATTCAATTTATCTTATCACATATCTCCATTGTCATTCTTCTTCAAATTTAATTATACGAAAATGTACTATAAAAAAAATTTCTCTTTTATTTCAAATGTTAATATGTAAAATTTGCCTGTCGGTAGATAACCCGTTCTACGCACAATCATGAATATCTGCTTTATTGGATCTATCAAGTTTTTACGAATTCGAATAATTTTACAAGGAGTATTAGTAGTTTTAATACATTTTTTTAATTTAAAATTAAAAGAATTTTTTTTTTTTTTTAATTTATAAAATTTAGATCATTTTCATATAATCATTGACTGATATGTCATGTGTATATAATATTGGTATGACAAATTGGGTTAAAAACGATGAAATAAAAAATATAAATGAAGTTCAAGATCTAATATTCGTAGAATTTTTAAAATAATAATATAATAGTAGACAATTTTCAAAATTGTTGACTACAATTTTATTTAATATGCGATAAACGAGAAAGAAGCAAAAAAAAAAGAAAAAAAAGAAAAAAGAAAAATAAACTAAAAGCGTCTTAATTATTTTTACTCACTTGATTCACACACTTTAATCCATTTAAAATTTAAATTAAATGATGTTAGTAGGAACAGTGATTTATATTTTCTTTTTCTAAATATTATCTTTGGAACAGATTCAAATTTTCTACTTATAAATATATATATGCATGTATATATATAATAATAATGTGTATAGAAACAAAATTAATCTCTTTCGTTTAATTTAGGAACATACATACATACATCATATATATCCAATGAGGATAATTACAAATTTAATATTCTAAAATCGAATATTTAAATATTCTAAAGAAAGAACTTAATATTAGAAATTAATATATTAAAAAATTTCGAAGTTGATTCTGAAGTTGAAAGAAGTCATAACCGATTTTTAATTCATTAAAATATTAACTACTTCTTACACATAATAATAATAATAATCCATAATATAATTACTAGAATAAAAATTAATGAAAATGCCTATTGAAGAAACCAAAACAATAATCACTATCAACAATTTATTCTATACGTATCACCAATATGAACGTTCAATAGAAATAAACACGATTATATTTTTTTCTACACGAATAGGTAATATGAAAGGTGAAACGTCCCGTACGACATGTAATCGAATGTGACGCATTATTATTGACTGTTAGTTTATATATATATACATTCAACATTTTTGTTGTCCTTTTTATTCTAGAGTTGTACCTTTCTTTACTTTTCTTTTCTCATTTTTTTATTGTGTTTCTATTTTTTTTTCTTTTTTTGTTTCTTTCTTTTTAATATCAAGTAGGTTGCGTGCGAGATACTTATACGTAGCAATATTATGCATTATGCAGAGAACGTATATGTTAGTCGTGTGATCGCACGCACATCGATTAGAACGGCACGTGTGTGTTAGTGACGTCCTTGTATATTATCCATCTAGTAAAACACGATAGATTATTTTATGCAGATTATGGCTTAGTTTATAGATGTTGAAGAGTGAAAGAGTTTTAGATTATAGGATGCCATACACGATAGTTCTATGGAGCTGAAAATAATTTCTTTTTTTTTTTTTTTTTTTTTTTGATCCACGTATCATCGATGCAAATTATCATTGAATATTAAATGGCAAACATTCATGATATAGAACTTTTAAAATAACTTTTAGAATTTAATATTCACTTTAAATGTTATATTTTAAACAAATTTTTTATCAAATATTTATACGTGAATGAAGCCAAACATCTTATTTTTATTTATATTATACAAATAATGAATGATGAGTTTATGTTTAACTTTTTTTCTTTTTTTTCTTTTTTTTTTTTTTAATCAAATAATATCAATCGCAAACACGATACGTATACATGAATTAAACTAAAATGGATTTTAATGTGGCTATTATAAAAATTTGCGGCTTTGTTTTACATATAAAAAAAAAAAAAAAAAAAAAATAAACTAGTGTATTTTTCAAAAATTACCCTCATATGTAAATGTATAATTTGTCGAGATGACGAATAGAATAAGAAAAAAAGGTAAAGGTGGACGATCGCAAGCGGAAAAACGTTTTTATGTTACATCGCGGATCCTGGTTGATGATGGCTTAATTGGTCGCTTTGTTCGCCATAGGAAGAGACATAATAGACGACTCGTATCGACGAACGAATCACGTGTTTTCTCTCTCTTTCTCTTTCTCTCTCTCTCTCTCTCTCTCTCTCTCTCAGCTCACAAATTTCCATCTCGTTCCATGAGAAATTTGTCGATTCATTTTACAAGACCAGATTCGATTTTACATTATCTTATCGTTGTCTTTCGGATACATTAATAGCGGTTTATCGACAAAATTTCAACTCACGACGGATGTTCTTCCTGTTCTTTTATCGCATTACGCCTTCGCTGCATGTCGCTGAAAGTTTATCCACGCGTTTCTGTAACCTCCTCGAGATACATGCTTGTACGTATATTATAGTTTTGCCATTCATATATAATTGATCGAGTTTATTGATAAATTTGATAATAGCGTTGATAAATTTATAAATTGATGAGTATATATATATATATATTTATTTATTTATTTATCTATAAGTATAATAAATAGTAATATAATTATCTCTGTATTCAAGTACTTATATGTTTATATATGTATATGTATCTATCTATAATCGTTTTAATTGATATAAATATTATATATATTATATTATATATATAAATATATAAAATTAATTAATTTTTATGCATGTGTGTGTATGTATGTGTATGTATAGATATATTCGATTCAATAAAAATATATAATTTCTATGGTGATATTTGAAAATATTTTGTTTTATCTGTTCAAATAAAATTCACAAAAATCATATCCAAATTTTTGTTAAATTAATAAATTGAATCATTTAAAAATAAGATAAATAATTTTTCATAATCAAAATGAAAATTCGTTTTTACTTGTCACATATAAATTATTGTCATAACAAGGTAGACGATAACTAAACATTATTTCATGGCTTATCACTTTTTTAATTTCTTTTTTGCACATTTGTATATCTATCAAAAGTAATAATATCTATCAGAGGTATTCATGTGTTATCAAGATATTAGTTTGATTATTTCATTATCTAAAATGAAATTCATAAATAGATTGTAAATATACGTTATCGTATTTAATGATCATTATATCTTTTCTTATCAAAAATGTAGAATACAATCATAAATTTATATATTTTTCACAGGTCAGAAGACGTTAAAGTCATAGAAAAGAAAAACGACGACGACGTAGGCAAGATATTCAATGTGTACAGCATTATCATCCAGGTATTATAGGAATAAATTAAAGAATTTAATATCATTATCTTTTTTTGCAATGAACGATCGAACATAAAGGAATGTTTTAATAATTGTCATTGTTACAGGCATTTGTAAGATGAAACCGTCCATGAAAATGGGAGTGATCGCCTTGATTGGTGTTTGTGTGGTATTTTATCAATATCACCTGTCTACAGGAGTTAGATTCGATCAGGCGATCGATTTTAGTGCCGGTGGATCTATCGATGATGAAGTCGAATCTCATCAGATTAAGTTCCCAAGGTTTACCTCAGATATGGTAATAGAAATTAATTATTGATATTAAAAAATAAAATACAGAATACAAAAAATTTATATATATATGGTTTTTTTTCATCATATAATTTTTCTTAAAATAAAAATAAATTCACAGGTAATGAACGCGGTACGTCGAGTACAAGATTTGAATGGTCTCAGTCCAGAAGTTGGTACATTATTGATCAAAGAAATATGGTATCAACTCAATAAAAATGTTCTTGAAATTACGGAAAACGATTCGCGAATTTTACGACCTTGTTCAAAACTTGTCACTTCGAACGTCGCATGTATGCCTTCCTTATCATCATCGTCCACGAAGAATGAAATATCTTTGGATCCTCTCTACATTATAACACCGACTTATCGTAGACCAGAACAAATTCCAGAGCTCACTAGGATGTCTCACACGCTTATGTTAGTTAAAAATGTTCATTGGCTCGTAATAGAGGATGCATACGTAGCCACAAAACAAGTTACGAGATTACTCGAACGTACGGGTTTAAAATTCGATCATCTAACAGGTGAGTCTTTTTTTATTATTGATAATCTTTTAATTAAAGATCTTTCGTCATTGTTTAAACCGTTTTTCTTAGCACGGAACGTTTATATTTTTAATAACTCTCATCCATAATAAAATATGTGTGTGTATATGTATATGTATATACATAGAAGTCGTCGAAAATTAATTGAACCAAGTGGATCAATTGACGATCACTTTAGAGATAAAATATTTCTAACGAAAGAACATTTCAGTGATCGATAAATTTCATTTTGATTTTTTCACGTGATAAATATATATATACTTGTATTAATAAATAATACGAATAAAGTAACGATCGTTATTCGTTTCAGCGCCGATGCCAGAAAAATATAAATTTAAAAATGGTGCAAAACCACGTGGCGTTTCTAACAGAAATCGTGGCTTGCAATGGATAAGAGCAAATGCAACGAAAGGTGTACTTTATTTCGCTGATGATGATAACACCTATGACATAGCTTTGTTCGACGAGGTAATACGGCTTCTACGATTATTCCTTTAAAACTCTTTACAAATACGCAGATTTCAAGCTTGAATATCTTTTTTTTAAATCAACAAGATATTAGTTTCTAATCGTTAATTTAATCGGAGTAACATTTAATTGTTTGTCGATTTGTATCCGATCAATATCCTATTATATCATTTATCTCTAAATTAGATATGCTCGTATAAGTTGATAACACGAAGATATTATTAAATGATAATATTATAACACATACACACGCAAGCACGGACACGCATACACACGCAAGCACGGACACACATACACACACTTATATCTAAATATTTTCACAAATACTAATTTTCAGATTCGTAAAACGAAAACTGTGTCAATGTTTCCGGTTGGTCTTTGTACCAAATTTGGTTTGAGTTCTCCGATTATAAAGAACGGAACGTTTGCTGGTTTTTATGATGGATGGGTCGCTGGTCGTAAGTTTCCAGTTGACATGGCAGGATTTGCCGTGAACGTTAAATTTTTACTTCAAAGGCCAAACGCCACGATGCCGTTTAGAGCTGGTTACGAGGAAGATGGTTTCTTGAAGAGTCTTGCACCGTTAGAACCACGAGACGTACAATTATTGGCAGACAATTGTACAAAAGTACTCGCGTGGCATACGCAAACAAAAAAGAATGAACCAAGTGCACCATTGAATATGAAACTCTATGGGTCGACAAATCTCGTTAAATTGAAGGAACAAATAGTATGATGTCCGGTAATTATTTGCCGAAGATAAAAGTCTCGAGTACTCGTCCGTTTTGTTTCTCGGACCTGTTTCTAACGGATAGGTGCAAGAAAAAAAAGCTATGTGATTTAGTGCCTAAAGTATTTCTCCTACGTGTAATCTAAAGAAGAAAAAGAAGAAGAAAAACGGGGTGTTCTTAAGCTGAACCATCATAATGACGGCGAAGCCTTTGATCTAACTTTTAATTTAAAGGCAGACTTTTACCTCATAGCCATGAGATCGAAAATGAGTCTCCTGCATTGCAGTAGTATGGTTTACTGTACCATAGTGTTGATATAGTGCATTTTAAATTATGTGTGGATGTATATATATATATATATATATATATATATATATATATATACATATACATATACATATACATATACATATACATATACATACATACATACATACATACATACATACATACATACATACATACATACATACATACATACATACATACATACATACATACATACATACATACATACATACATACATACATACATACATACATACATACATACATACATACATACATACATACATACATACATACATACATACATACATACATACATACACACACAAAAATATTCTCCCGCGAACAATACAGACTAATGACCAATTGAGGTGAGTTAAATTGATTCTAGTGAGCATAGTGATAGTGAAAGATTTTTGTGAGAAAGCAAGAAAAATGAGGGAAGCAATGTAAAAAAAAAAAAAAAAGAAAAGCGAGTAACTATCTTGGACCAGTAAATACATAGTGAAAGTGTGAGAGCTCGGAACACAAATCGAATCTGCCTAAGCCTCCAAATATGCACTTAATTGTATTAATGAAATATTAATAGTAATTATGAGATTTTTCTTTGTGTACCGTATTTGGACAGTCTATGCAGTCATGTCACAATCACAAATTTCAACTTCCGATTTTTATCAGACACATTGGATATCGATTCCATTTTAAAGCTTTTTGAACAATAATATAATATTGTAAATAAGTATTACCAATGTGGCATATTATTAAGCCGGAAGAATATTCTATGAAAAACGGTATATTGAATTAATATCTTGCGAAGAAAATCCTTTTATTAGATAAAAATATAAAATCCAAGGATATTTGAACTGGTGATTATAAAAAAAGTGATCCAAATCATATATATTTTTCGTTTTGAGATGTATTAACAATCAAGTTTGATTTATTTAAAAATTGTTTTTTTTTTTTTTTTATAATGACGACCATAAATAAAAATAAATATATTTATTCTTGAGAAATAATTCTTTTATGTTATTTAAAAATTTTTTAAACAAACTGTGAAAGATGAAATATGTCTTTTTACATCTCAAACGACTTAGATCACTTTTATAATCATTGGCTTATTTGTCAAAGATTTTTTGATTTTTTTTCTTTTTTTTTTGTGCATATCTTATCCATGGTCATTAATAATCATAAATCATTATTATAATCATTCTTTGTTGGTAGGTGATCTTCTCATCTTATTTAAATTATCTTTGAACTTTCATGTGAGAGAGAAACTTATCAGTCAAATAAACATCGTGAATTCGATAATGTGATCTCAATATTGCATTATTGTAAAATGATTTATTTGTACATAAAGATCATGCCGTGCTTCCTAGGCAAAAAGGTATAAATATCACATATTGTAATAGCAAAAAGAAATTAATATTTTTTTTGTTCTATTTGCGGCTTAGTAACTAATGTTGATTAGCTTAATCGGCAGGTAGCTCGTCGAAGTATGTAGATTATTAAGCAAAGTGCGCATCGTTTTTTTTTCGAATAATTCATTCGTTGATCATTTTTTTTTGAGATAGGGAGAGAGAGAGAGAGAGAGAGAAAATAGGAAAAGTTTTGCATATCGAGTTATGGCTGTCAACATTTGAATAATTTTTATTTGTAAAAGCGTCAGTTATATTCTCAACAGATTTGTGTAAAGCCAAAGAATGTAATCGTTCCGATAACAAAAAAAAAAAGTATATATATACCAAAAAAGACAAAAAAAAAATAACAACACTTTCTTATCAAAAAAATACAATCACGAATTAGTAATTGCATTACTATGAAAAATTCTATACTAAGTACTACTCATATGTAGCCTAGAGGAAATTATTAGATATTTAATAGAAAATCTTTTCTCAAGGATTTATATACAAAGTAATAATATTACAATGAGTTTTCACTTACAATAGCATCTCAATTTTTTTGCTCGATTTCTTTTTAGGCATATATATATATACATATATTACGAGGGACGTGGTAAAAATCAGGGATAACGCGAGAGATGCAAGATCAGATTATTCCATTTATCGTGTAATACAGAAGTCGGTAAAAAAACAAATATGTACGTATACATATATATATTTTTGCTGCAAATCAGTTTTGCAATGTACAAAAAAATCTTTATATAATTTTTATTTCTCAAGTATACGTCTTATGATTTTTGTATCAAAGTATCTACTTAGTAATCCCTTTTAAAATATAAATGAAAAATTAGATATAATTAAGTTTAAATAATGCTGTCATCCCATAATAAATTAGTTCATTTAGGTTTAGGCTTAATTTGGAGATATGTTGTTAATTCTTACAATGCATTGTATAGTATATTGTAGATGCATTATTATACTGATGTAAAGAGTATCAAGCAATAATATGATAAATACAATAATAAAATTCAAAAAATATGTTCTATTATATTAATAATATCAACAATAAACAAAAATATCACTCTTTCTTGATAAATAATATAAATGAAATTTAACTCCTGTTTATAAATTTGGAATCATTTTCTTATAAGATTCCAATATTCAAATGTACATATGCTTTCCAAATTGTATATGATACATTTTGTGACGATAATTATAAAAAGAAATTAATGACGAAATAAAACGAAAGTTAGATAAACGTCGAAATGATTTTTATTATATAAATCGTCAAATTTAAATCATATATATTATGGATTATGCTACGCGTATGTACGTGTGAAACATTAGTGATAAAAACACTATAAAATTATTATATGCGAGGACTGATCACAAATACTATGAAAAAAAAATTGTTTTCATATATGTAAGAAGTATTCTCAAATTCATTCATCAATTTATTCTAATTTCGTGTGACTGTTAATATTGGAACTACAGAGACTGTATATGATGAACAAATACTAAATAAAAAGAATTAAGAACGAGTTTGTTTTTTGTTAAAAAAAAAAAAAAAAAAAAAAAAAAAGAGAGAAAACAACCTTTATTTTATTTTAATAATTTTCAATTGATTTATAGTACCTTGTAAATATATTGCACGTTATTAAGGATAACAAAAAATACTCACAATTAAAAAGTCTTAACTTAATATTAGCACAATGGGAAGAAAATAGAAAAGCTTGAATATATATATGTTGAAGTCTGTACTAGTCTATTTTAAGATACTGAAACGAAATCATTCAGAAATGAAATGTATATCTAATTATATCTTAGATACAATTTTGTCGTCGGTTTCAATGTGTAATATAAACTGATAAATTTTTTTATATATATAATGAATTTTTTTTATATATTAATGATGTATGTGCTTTTATATAAATGAATCTGATCGAAATAGATTCATGACTTTATTAACGATTAATCAACTATATATTTTCGGAATTATTATCTCACCAAGATATTCTCTGGGGATAAGTTTGATCTTCCCAATAAAATACTTTATTAATAAATATGAAAAATTGTAAAAAATTGATAACTGAATTCGTAAGTGATTCCATTATAATTTGCCAAGTTTTGGGTTTTCTCATACTTAAACGATAAAAAATATATGGTATAATAAAATATCGTGGTTCTAATAATAATTGTGGTATAAGAACAATAACTGTGCAAAAAATAAAATTGATTTGTGTTGCAAATCTTATATGACTTATACCATACAGTGTACTATAAATCGTAAAACAATATACAGGTATTAAGATATATTTGAAAATAACATATTTGCCCATAAATTTGTTCCATATATAAAATGTATAATGCCTATTATCTGCTAATACGTACGGATGAACAAGAGTATTGCAATGGACTATAATTGTTATAAGTGCAAAAATTAAACTTGATAAGATCCAATGATCCTGTATATTTTGAAAAAATTTTAAATAATGAGAAATCATGTAAGGCCATAAGAAAGAAAATATGAAAAGAGAAAAATAAAATAATTGTGATATATGAATCACAGGTACATGTGCAGTACGATCTCCAACTACAATACCTCCATTCCAAATAAGAAAGATTAAAAATATTACACCTACCATTATGTAGGGAAAAAGATTAATACTTATTTCAATAAAGAATTTAATAAATGAAATTTTACCATTATTTACTTTGTCCATTATACTCTTCCATAATAACTAGAAAGTACATAATTTTATCATATATTGTTCACAAAAATTATATAAAAATATATCATATGTTTGCCCTTAAATATAATATCCTTTACTTACCTTTAAATGAATTGGTGTATTAATGGCCGTAGATGTTATAGGTTTTTGCATATGTTGATGTAATAAATCCACAATACGTTCCATAGCAAGAAATATAACCCAAATAACATTTGTTTGTCTGACCAGTATGCTTAATAATCCTATATAATATAACAAATAAAATGTAACGATATATATTCTTATTATTTCAAAGAATATGTGTGTTTGCTAAATACGAAAGAAAATATATATTATATGTTATTATACATACCAACGAAAGCTGAAATTTTATAATATGTTCGAAAATGTAATAATAACATCAATAAAACGATGTTAACAGATAGAACATCCGTATAATATAGAAAAAACCAGAAAAACAATGGAGGAAACATTGTAATATTATATGCTACTTCTAATTGTATCCAATCTTCCCACTTATTTTTATGTATTTGTTTCATTAAAGAATACGTAAGATAAAGATTTGCAAATGTACCGAATAAATTGATACATCTTATATACAATATATTACAAAGATTTAAAGGGGATAATATTGCAGCAGTGAGAAAATATAAGCCAGGTAAAGTTGTTATTTTAGAATCCCACTAAAAGTAAATAAATAATTACATATTTTACTAAGTAATTTAACAAATATTATAAACTATTTGTCGCTATTATATATTAGTAAAAATTATAAAAAGAGAAACTGTTTACCACTGTAAAATTTCCATCGCAATAATGCAAAACTTGAGGTATATGAAACATTTCATCAATAAAATAATGCGGTTGGATTCTATTTAAATATATAAAAAGTGATGCAGTGCTTATAATGAATATTACAGACAAGACATATTTATATACCGAATAATAAATCGATCGAGAATTTCTTTTTAACAATGTCATAATTTTCGTTAAAAAAAAAATAAAAAAACTTGCTTATTTTATTAACAAATAAATATAATCTAACTTCAGGATGTAACGTCTACACAATCATCTAACCTATAGCATGTGCCAGCAAATACGTAATATATATGTCCGAAGAAAAAAAATGTAATATTATATAAACAGTAAGTATCACAGTTATATAAGTATTATAATATTGTTAACAAAGAAAGTTTGTATATGAGTCTATTACTATTATTGTGAAAATTACAATCGATTAATATTACTTTGAAATTTTTTTTTAATTAAACTTCGCGCTAGATAAAATCGTATAAAATATTTTAACCAATCACGTATGTGATAATACTTGATTGGTTGATGTTTCGTTTTCTTTGGTTTGTCATTTTCGTTTGAGCGGTAAATTTCATGAAGTAAATATAAACGTTTTTATAAAATTAAATTGCTTTTATAATAAATGTTTATTTAAAAAATGCGTTTCGTATGTTTTTGATTGTTACAATTTAACCATTTCTTTTTGAACTCGTTATCTGATCAACAAATTGATGAAGTTATAAGAAATGTATAAATGAAATGATCAAATCGTTTTTAAATTCCGTGCGATAGTTTATTATTGAGGAAGGACAAATAGTAATGAACCTAGCGAATCTATTGGTAATGAGAACGTAACTAATAAAATCCTGTCTATTTTATTCTGTATGAGTTGGTACGAGCTTGGTTACCGTAATGCCGATTGCCATATGAAAGCGAAGTTCAACGAAGTGTTGTGCATGCCAAGTGTATTAGTTGATCTTGGAAAAAATACGTTTTTTTAAAGGTAAGCTCGATCGATTAATTATTTTGTCAATGTTCGTTCTTATTTTATTTTCTTTAATAATCGTCGCGCATATCGATTGAAAAATCAATTGAGAAAAAAAAACTATCGTGCCAATATTCGCCGTTTCCTCCAGCCATACCTGAGTACAATAATAGATTTGGCTGGAACCTACAACCTGATTAAATAAATAGTATTGTCTGTCTCTGAGTGCACCGTCTAAGTGGCAGCCAATTATATCTTAATTCGTCGCAAGGTATCGCCTTTGTTATTACAAGTGATACTTTTATTTAAGGTCGCACTATCAAAGATTCATAACCTTATTATTTAGTTTATTATTACGTTTACGTGAGTAATTACGTGGTTGAAATAATAATAATTGAACTTATATTTATTTAAATGAGAATGTGATAATTAAAAGAACGTATTTGTATTATATATATAATATATATATATATATATTATATATATATATATATACATATATTGATTTTTTTTCTATTATTGCATGAATAATATATTTTTTTACATAGCAAAGAAGCATGGAAGGACAACAGTTTTGTTTACGGTGGCATAATTTTCAAAATACTCTATTGAGTTCTTTGCCAAAGTTACTGGATGGTGGGCATTTAACAGATGTTACTTTAAGTGCAGGAGGAAGACACATTCATGCTCATAAAATTATACTTTCTGCTTGTAGTTATTATTTCAAAGAATTATTTAAGGTATGTATAATACAATACACATTTTGTAAATCAGATCAAATTGTAAACTATTAGATGATATAGGAGCATGTTATACAATTTTCTTTTATTTATGATTAATTTTTGTAGGACTTAAGCTCTTTACAGCATCCAGTCATCATATTACCAGGCATGGAATATGGAAATTTGTGTGCATTAGTTACATTTATGTACAGTGGAGAAGTAAATATTTATCAAGAGCAATTACCTGCACTTTTAGCTATGGCAAATACTTTGCATATTCGTGGCTTAGCTGATATTGGTGGGGTAAGACGATGTTCCTTCATGTTTCAAAATATATATGACAAAGTGTGCAAGTTATTGCTGCTTTATTTGAAACTTTGTTATATAATATATTTATAGTCATATGACAAGTTTGTGTGGTACTTTGAAGCTTCGTTATATAGGGTGTGATCTATGAGAGATTACATATAAAGAGAAAAAAGAAAAAGATAAAAATTTTATTTACAAATATGTCTTAAAATCATTTTAATGAATTTCTTGAATTAATAAAGGATTAAATGATTTTTAGATTGATTTCTTATACTATAGAACTGTTGAAAATCACATATGATAAAATGAATTTATACTTTAATTATACTACTTTGTGTCTGTAGGCTGCATGTCAGAATGTTAGAAAATTCATATTATAATTATTGTGACATTAATTGTTACAATAAAGTATTATATGTTCTTGCAAGAGTCCCAATAATCAAAAAATTGCCTTTTATCTGTCCTGCAAGATTGCTTCCTCCATCTTGACTTAAAAGCCTAGATAAAAATTTGTGGCAACCAATTGGCTAACTCTCTAGCTCAACCTGGGTTAATGTTTCAACCTGTCTGTGTGTTTCATTACCTTTTATGTCTCTCATGCATTTTTGTTATTCTTTTTTTATATAAAGTAGATTATTAATAAAAAGAAAACAAAATATATTTATTTAAATGCTACGTGTAGAGAAGTATTTAAAAAATATTTTATTAAATAAATTTGTAGTGGAGGAACAAACTTTTGAAAGTATACTTCTATGAATCTATAATGGTATAATATTCTAAAGCAAATTGCACTGTCGCTTTTTCCTTTTAATCTCTTTATATTACCCTAGGATCGTGTTGTTTTGTTCAGGTCACTTAAACATTCAATGTCGTTCCTCAAGAAGTACCTCACGGTGGAATTATCTGCTGCATATAATATTCATACGTGCATCAAAGGAACGATAATGAATACAAACGATATCCACGAGATCAAGATCGTTGTGTGTGTTGCAACTAAATGCAAGTGGATGCATCCCATGGAACCTTACCCCATAGAATGAATTTACAGGTATATCTAAAATAGCTTTTTCCATAAATCATCATGTTACTAAACTCTTTTATGGAAATTTATAGCTGTGGTCTAAATGTTTGCTCACTTTGCAGAATAATGCTTTAATATTTGTGATGTCTATAACATTTATTATCTAAAAAGTGTCCTTTCTTATTCTTATTGTGTGATCTGAGAGATATTGCATGGATAAATTTATTAGCAATATTGGGAATTCTCAGCTGTTGTTAAAAAAAAATAAAAAAATAAAAAATAAAAGAAAAAAGTAAACAAAAAGAAAGTAAACAAAAAAAAAAAGTAACAAAAGAATTACATAAATGATAGGTATATACAGCATTTAATGATTCTAAAAGTTACAAAGCTTTCTCATTGATATTAATATCAGATATAATTATTGTTAGATTTTCATCATTAGAAAATATTTACTTATTACAGAAAAATCCAAGGCATGATAATGGCTTATGTGTTCAATCTCCTGTGACGACTCAACCTCAAGAGAAAACATTAATTGAAGAAACGATAAAGAAAGAAACTAAAGACTGCGTGACTGGAACAGAATCAATAGAATCACTATCAATGCCTGAAGTTGCGCCTAATTTAGAAGAAGAATCTTATAACGAACAAGAAAGTATACCATATTGTGTAAAGACGACACCGTACTATTCGATAAATGCAAAATTAAATCAGAGAGAAAAGGTACCTGGTCTTATTAATGCGTCATCCAACAAATACATAGAGAAAGGATATACAGATAATGCAATGGATGAAACTGCTTCAGTATCAGAAGATATGAACACAGTGCGAACAGACGTAAAACCACCTATTTGGGATTCAAACTTCAAATTTCTTGGGTCATCTGCATCTAATAGAACTTCACATATTTATAATAAATCTAGTGTTACATGTCACGTTTGTGGTAAACAATTAAGTAATCAATACAATTTACGAGTGCACATGGAAACTCACAGTAACAGCTCATACAGTTGCACAGCATGCTCACACGTCTCACGGTCACGGGATGCTTTAAGAAAACATATTTCGTATAGACATCCAGTAGCTACACCCCAAAAACGTTCACGGTACAACACTTCAAAACAATAGATTGTTATCTCTTCACCAGAGACACCGAATAATATACATTTCCATCTTAGAGGGGAATTATTTGTAAGTATAGACCAATTTGAGAATGTTTTATTAGTAATATTTTGAAAATAAATGATAAATTGTTATCATTTTTGTAGTAGTTATGATCTCTGCTTCAGGTTAATGAAAGACATTAAATGTATAAAATATAAATAATATAGTTTTTCTCTCGTTATATCTGCAATTTTACAGATAAAGTGAAATGTGTTCAGTCTAATACAGATTCCCCCGTTTTTAAATTGTTATTGTTGTCTTGTTACCGTTACCATTTTAATAAAGGAGAACATTATCAATTAATTTTAATGCTTTTTTTTCTTTATGAAATTCAAACTCGTCTAGAAATTGTACAAAGCTTGTAACAAAACGTTTATACGTATGCATATAAGAAAATTGTTGAGATATAATATTTAGATATATTATCTATAATTAATAATAGTTTTAAGAAAAGAAAGTTTTTATATAATACTCATATCTGGATTAAAGAACTTTAAACGAGGATTAATTATCTCATTAGATAGAAATAAATCACATAATATACTCATTTCCCGTGTTGTATATCAAGAATCGTATTTAAAAATAATATACATTATGTTCAAGCTACTAATTAAATAAATAAAATACATCCAAAGCTCAGCTTTTTCAAAAAACTTGTATAATACTTTAAAAAGATATTTAAATTTTTTCTATACGCCATATTTTAGTATTACAGTCCTGACCAACTGATATCAAAGTTTCTTCATCCAACCAAACTAAACGTGTAATTTGACTTTGCGGATGAGCATCTGAAAAATAATAAGCTTCTTAATTGCTTTTCTTCAATTTATATGTACATAATTTGTTCATGCTTTAATTGCACAGAGTTGTTAGACGATCTAATTAAATAGATTTACTTTTTATAATCGTATGCTTGGCTGGATTGGATACGCTCCAAATAATAATTGTAGTGTCTAAACTTCCACTAGCAACCATTTCCGAATCACGTGACCATGCAACACAATTTACTCTTGCATTATGGAAACCCCATTCTCTATTGTGAGCAGGCTATAAAAATAATACAATGGCAAATAATCAAATATTTCGGGTTATAAATAAATCTAATGAAATGTAATATACCTTATACTCTGGAACAGCATAAAGGACAACTTTTCGATTTGCGTCACAGGCTACTAAATATTTATTGTCAGGACTGTATGCAACATCAGTAACCGGACCTAAATGTACTACTTCAGTCTTTTGAGTTAATGTTGTTCCTACTAATCCATAAATATAAACCTGTAAATCAGACCAATATAAATTATATAACTTCTGCGTATATTGCATCTATATTATACAAGATTCGGTCATATATTGTGAAGTAACTATTTTTATATTTACACACACACACACACACACACACATATATATATACATATATGTACGTATACATTTTGAACTAACTTTATTGTCTGATGCCGATCCTATAGCTACGTCCGCGTTATCTTGATTAATTGACACACATGACGGCTCATATTCGGTCGGTGTACTTGAAACTTTTCGACCATCTTGTGTAACTATTACCTAGGAAAAAAAAAAAAAAAAATATCGATATTTTTTGATTACTCAAGTATTAAAAATATAGTAAAAAATATGTTCTTAATTACCTGTCGTACAGAAGCGACGATAACCTTATCCTCAAAAATATCTAAGCCTCGTGGTTGAGAATCTAATTTGATAGAATTATCTGAATACGCACACGTTTCTATGTCTACAGACCTTAAAGTATCATCAATGCCAGCAGTGTATAAAATATTGTTGGCAGCTTTCATTCCATTAATTTGATTTCCATGACCGTTTCCTCGTACACGATCATTTTCGCCTGTTTCTGCATTCCAACTAGTTATATAACCATCGTGAGATCCTGTGTAAATTGTTGATCTGTCAGGGCTCAGTGTTAGAACAGTAATTGGCTTATTATGACCCTAAAAATATTTATATGTATACATATATATATATATTTATAACATGAAATAATTTATAAACAATATGATGATATAATATAGAAAGTACTTATTTTATGAAATAGTGTATATACCTTTATTATTCTTATAGGTTTTGAAGGATTATTAACATCCAAATAATTGATAAATCCACTGAGAGAAACAGATAATAAGTGTACACCTTGCCATAAACAACTAACCTGTAAAAAAGAGATTTTATAAAAATGCTCCACCTGTTTTTTTTTTTAATCAAAATTCACATTAACATGTACAAACTTGTTGATCATCAACCGTAGTTCCCATATTGAATTCACTAATTAAAGATCGAGTTTCTACATCCCATAATCTACACGTTTTATCTCCTGATGCTGTTAATAATTGAGTGCCATCTGGTTTCCAGCTGACCTGAACATATATAATTTACTTTTTATTTTGTTATATATATATATGTATAAAATGAATGAATTAGAGTTACAGATGAAAGAAAAAAATATATATGTTCTGTACCCCGTAAACACCACCTTGATGTGAAGGAGAGCCAACTTCACCGACAAGATCAGATGATGTTCCATCGTATATAAATACTTTCCCATCAAAGCCTGCAGATGCAAATAAATTTCCACTTGGCGAATAACGTACGGCTTGTACGAAACGAGTGTGTTCCTGTTTCGTCATTCTAAATAAATGAAAATAGTAATAAGTAAACAACAGTATTATGAATCTTTTATATACAAGATATGTTTATGAATTATTTATAGGAGCCATATATAATCTTAGCATACTTAAACTTAAATGGTGGACCCTCAAAAACAGCAATAGTATTATCTTCACTACCAGTAATCAATCTAAATGGTCTTGTTGGTCTAAAGTCACACGAGTTGATTGACTTACTTTGACCAGATATTTCACCCACGGATGTACCAGTTTCTGCCATAAATACATGTCCAAATCTATAAAATGTTATATAAATACATTATAAAAACTACACTGATTTAATTATGGATAAAAATAGTAATATTAAAAATGATATCTAATAATACATGTATTTACCTCTCTCTTCCTTCACCAACAACAATCATGCGTTGACTGTCGGGTGACCAAGCAATATCTTTGATTGGTCCACCAATTGGATGAAATTCATTTTTTAAAATATGTTCTTTATTCACAGTATCCCAAATACGTACTTTCCCAGACTGATCTATATAATATAAATTGTGTAATATTTTTTTATTTGTGTAAACATTTTTGTTTTTTATATTGATAATATATAATATACTTCGCAAAATATACTTACCGCCTGATGCTATATAAAAACCACTTGGAGAATATTTGGCAAGGTTTACAGGGCAAGAATGTTCTGTATAAATATCAGCAATTGCTGGATTCTAAAATACAGACAATGGTTATAAAAAGAAAAAATATTTCTGAAACTTACAAAAAGGATTGTAAGAAGATTAGCAATAGAAATTCGCTTACATCAATATTTCTAATGATGACACTATTACCATTGGTATATAAGAAATTTTTTCCTTTTGGATCTCCACCTAATACAAGAGGTTGCCCTCTTTGTGTCTTGGGCAATGTAGCAAATATATATTCTGTAATTTATAATTAAAATATAAATTTCTATGTAAATAAAAGATAATATAAAAGATTAAAATATTAATAGAAGGAATAAAAGAAATTTATTTTATAAGTATTTGATAATGATAATTTTAAATTCATATGGAACATTGTCGATTTTTTTATGAAATTAATTTTGTAAAGATATTTTTTATATTTTCTTTCATAAAACATTTATTATTAATAAAATTTGACGTATATAATGGAAAAGATTAATTAATAAAAAAAAAAAAAAATATATATATATATAAGTATACACATATTTCATTGATGACATATTTATATAATAAAAAAAATTTAACTCTTACTTGTTTCATATGACATTTCTATATCACTTCTATCCTATTCTTCCTGATGTTTTGACCTTTAAATAGCCTTAGACATCGGCTAAACTCGGATCTGTCGTTTTCTATTAATAACAAATCATGTTCAATGACTTTTATCACTTGTTGTATTTTTATTGTTACAAGTAGTAATACACAGGAAAAAAAGCATACATAGTACACCATACACACACGCACATACACAGAGAGAAAGAGAGAGAGAGAGAGAGAGAGAGAGAGAGGAGAAGATATTTGAAAAAAGACTAGCTTCTATAGATAGAATATTCTTTTTTTTTCGTATAGATAGTAGTACCTGTTGTATACGTTACTACTAGCACTTTGGACTCTTACCGTTCCGGTACTTGAAACCTTTTGCCGTATCAAATGATATCAGTGATACACAGAAAGATTTCTTTTCCACGCAGATGTCTCTCACAACACGGCAGAAAATTTGTATACCGGGGTAATGTATATTATCTTTAACGTTATAATACAATTTTTAATGTAATATATATTTTAAACTCGATGGGATATTGTATGTCACAGTGTTTTATTTAAACAGTATGAGGCCGCCGAATTTCCTTGAATATGACAAATCACATATATATCTAGAGAAAACGAGCACGTGCACTCGGCACCACAGTTGGCGACAGATTCCAGCGAACTCGTCGAACACCTCGTCGTCCACCCAACCAGCTTTCCATCGCATCACCACACATACATCTTTATCCTTCCTCACATATACACTTGTTCCCGCCCTTCGCCTTATTTGGACGAAGCGTCAACGCTACCGGTTTCGCCTAAAGTCACCTTTTCATGCAAGCGAATTTTAATTTACGCTATTTACCAATTCGAAAACCGACTTAATCAATGATCCGAAAACCGGTTTGACCAATGATATTATATCTTTGTTAGAAATTTATTCAATAAGCGAACGCATAGATATTCTCAATTTAAAAAATATGTATATATATATATATACATTTATGTATTTTATTTTTATAATTTATCAACTTTGAAATGTTACTAGTATTATCAAATATTGTATAGATATTTTATTCGATTTTAAGGTTTGTATGTTTTATATATATACATATATATACATACATATAAAATAGAATTTTTTTTTAATATTTTTTAATTTTGAACTATTTTATCCAATGTGCAAAAGTCTACTGCTTTTGTTTATATTCCAGTAAAATTCTTATAGATGGCGCGTCGTGTCCGCGATCAACAGAATTATAAGAATTTTGTAGAAATGAGATATCTATGTGCAAATTAAGATCTATTAAAATATATCATTTATTTTTTATATTTTATTGAAAGATACACATTTAATATAATCTAATCTATAAGCAGGAAAAAAAGGAAGGTATTAAAATTTGTATAAACAACGAATCAAACTAACAATTAAATTTGTTCCATGACCAATCAGGTTTGAATAAAAATTCGACGCATTTCTGTGTGAAAATTAATATAATACGTTAAACCAGTGATATCAGTTAGTATAATATTTCTATTCGATTATTGCAACGAATTGATCATCGATGAATCATGGTAAAGTATTATATGAATTTGACGTAAATTTATCTGATAACGATAATAAATGATTATTTCGTATTATTATATACTTAATTTGTTAAACGAAAAGAACAAGAAAAACTTGTCACGAAAATTTTTCTATTTACCTGAAAAAAAAAAATAGATAAATCATATTTTTCACTTCAATTAAAAAAAAAAAGAACAAACGAACAAACAAAAACAAATAAACAAAAAGAAAAAGAAAAGAAAATCATAATATATTTCAATTCTTGATTTTACAATTCAATAAATTTTTTCCCAAAGTTTTTTTATTTACATTCAAACAGTTTTATTTTCAATCAAAATAAATTTCATACATTCAGATTTATATCGATCAAAAATCTTCTCCGTTTAATAGGTTAATGATCAATCGACTTCTCGAATATACACATAATTACGTTCTAAGATTTTATTAATCAAATTTGAATTGTACATATTATGATGATTTAAGGCCAACAATGAATAAAGACGTAAAATCATGAATGATCTTTATGAAGATTCAAGAACCGAGAACACGACTTTCTCGAATTTTTGAAAAAATTTCTCGTTGAAAATGGTGGATTTTTTTTTGGCAAATAGTTTATGCATAAAAATAATGCTTTTTCAAAAATTCCAAAAATTCCAAAATTCCAAAAATTCCAAATTTGGAAATTCCAAAATTTCCGAAATTCTTCCGTAGAAGAATTGTTGAATTCCGTGTAGAAGATGCGATTAAGTCCCATTATGAACTTCGTTAATTTGTTCGAAATTCGGAAAGCACGAATATTCGTGCTTAATAGTGTGTTAATCGAAGCTTTCGATGTTACGACTATATCCTGCTATATGTAAGCGAGTACTGATCTTTTTTCAATTAGCGTTGAAAATATAAAAGAATTTAAAAATAATTTCATAGAGTAATTCATATAGAAAAATTATAATTTCTTTATTTATTTTTTATATATTCTTGATTATTCTCATTTACTTTTTTTTTTTAAGACCTGAATTTCTCGTCAACCATCATCAACGTTACTTTTCTTTGCTTTTATTTCTTTTTTTTTTTTTTTACATATTATATAATAGTAGCAATAATAGTAATATAAAAAAGTTAGAATTATCGTTAACCTATGGATCCCTTTAGAACCACTAACCTCCACGTGGTGAGACTATTGGATCGGTGAGATTATTGTCAATAAAGAGGGATCTAATAGAATTTCAGTATTATCGAGCGAACGGTTGGTACATACAATAGTTTAAACAATTATTCTAGATTGATTATTCTAATTTCTCTCAGGTGTGAGCCTTTGGGATAGGTTTTAGGCGGGTTTTTTTCTTTTTTTTTTTTCCAAAATCGAGATCGATTTTTATACTCTGATTTTGTTCGGTTGGAGCAATCTTCAAAATGTCCACTCTTCGTTTTATATTGCTCTTATAATTCATATTTTGTCCATATCTGTCGTTGGCGTAGCATATTACCAGCGAAAGATGGTGGACAGTCTTAAGAGAAGTGTGATAAGGGGGGAGAGAGAGAGAAAGAGAGAGAGAAAAAGAGAGACGTTACCTTCGACTTACACTTACGTTCGAAAGGATAACAAACGAACCGACAAAGAGCCGGAGGCACGAAGAAACGAGTAAGCTTAGCTTTTCTAGGACGGTTGACAGGTCGTTGAAAATAAATCAATTTATAGTTTTCATTGCTAACTTGCGAGCCATATTACGTGACTCGTTCCACGTGGCTCTTAACGGTGGCAGCTCGTCTCTCTGCCTCTTATGTTTGCACAATAGGGCAAAAGAGAAAGAGAGGCGGTGAAATAATAGCAGGGTCATCCAGCGCGCGAAAAGGATCGCCTAAACGGTTTCGATCCTTTCGCGAAATCCCGCAAAGATTCACTCGCTGATAAAAGATCCTCTTGAGAAGGTTCTGTTAAATATATATGTCTATATGTGTGTATATGTATGTACATGTGTATAGACGTCGAGTTACCTTTGGCAACGTTTTAAGGCCAACGTGCGCACTTTAAACGTTGATAAAAATAAAAAGAAAAAAAGAAATAAAAAAAAAAAGAAACAAATTTCATCTTTCACGTATTTCCACTTGAATTGTTCAATATCCAATCGATTCTCGATCCTTCCAAACAGAATCATTTCTCCAAATGGTATACAGGCCTCTCTCTCTCTCTCTTTTTCTCTCTCTCTCCCTCCCTCCCTCCCTCTCTCTTTCTTTCTCTCTCTCTCTCTCTCTCTCTCTTTATCAATCTATCTATCTATTTCTCCCTCCTTCCTCTTACCATAACTTGGAGAGAAAGCGGTTGTTGTTGATATATAGGGGTAGGAAATTTGTATGGCACTCGATACTCGAATTACTCGTGACCGAGCTCGTTCGAACGATGAAGATAAAGTTGGGCGCGCACAGAATGGCGATGCAGCTTGAATCCTAGCGTCTCGTTTCGATCTCATAAAATTGATTGAAAAAAGCGTTTGGCTTCAGACGATCGTGAAGAAGGAAGCCTCGAAGCAATGGCGCAAAGGAAGTAGAAGCATCGTGTATCAAACGTTCTCGTGACGTCTACTATGTGATCTAGTATAACAGTACTAGTGAAAGTAAATGTAAATTTGTTGCTTTTTCCTATTCCTTTTTTCTTTTTTCTTTTCTTTCTGAAAAAACTTGGATCATTGCACCGCCATATTGAATTTATAGTTTTCCCATTTAATTATCGCATTGTTTTATATTTCTATATTACATACTCTAATTTGTTTTCCAACATTTCTTTATCATTAATATCTGATATGGATTTTAACTTTTAACAATGATAATAATAATAATAATAATAATAATAATATAATTAAGATATTCCAAAGAGTTCCGCGTTTGAATTTATATATATTTATAATTAATTAATTTCAATGTGAATAGAGAAGCGTTTGTAAATACATACCTTGCGTAAGGTCAGTATTCCGATAGAAATTCACGGCGATTCATTAGCGCGGGAATACTTGAGAAAAGGAAAAAAGAAAAAAAGAAGGAGAAAAAAAAATAAAAAGACGAGACAATGTGATCAATGTTTTTCCTGGAATGTCCTTCGAATGAGCGACGATAAAAAAGCGATCTTTACGATTTATCGAAGAACGCGTTCAGTATCCTTTGTTCGAGAGTATAGTACCTTGTCGTAATATCTGAAGTATTCTCTAAGAACTGGAGGGGTTTGGAGGGAGTGAGTGAGGGTGAGAGTGAGGGTGAGGAGGAGGGAGCGCGTTCGTTTCGTTACAGGTTCGTCCACGCTCTCTTGAGTTTCGATCGTGTAGATGATAGAAGAAGACTATGTATATACGTTGTTGGTAACAGATGGTCCAACGAGTACGTGGCTCCTTCCTTCATGCGCATCACTTACGCCCACACTATACGAGAAAAGAAAATCTTTTCTTTCGTCTCGTATGTCTCTGATTCAAGTGTGCATATATAAGCAGTGTATATGTATCTATATACAGGGTGTATCAAAATAATCCGAGTGATTGTTAAAAATTCTTTAACATTTCTTTTAACTCTTCTTGTGTTAATTCTTAGACAGATCAATTCTTTTCTTTTCTTTTTTCTTGTTCCTTTTTTTTTTATTTTTTCTTCTCTCTCTCTCTCCCTCTCTCTCTCTCTCTCTCTCTCTCTTTATCTCATATATTTGAAACTACAATTTCTTGAATAAGAACTTGTTTTACAATTTTACAGAGAAAGGGTCAATCTGATAGGTCTTGGAAAAAGATTTAATCGATTCTTAAATTAACTTAAAGATATTAACATTGAAATCAAGTTTGGAACTTTTGACCCATCCAGTATGCACCTAGACAAATGTATACTATATCTACATACTTGGATTCTCGAGAACGCGTCGAGGTAATTACGCGGATTATAATGAT